GTTGGGATTTTAAACGAAACTTTTTTTTACTTAGTTGTTTTACCAGGTAAGGCCCGCTGGAGCTGCTATATGGCTCTTTTTCAGAAACGACCTGAACGCCACAAATGATGGCTCAACGAAGTGGCTTACCACGTGGACATTTATGGCTGTCAATTACTCCAAACGCGTGATGTTGATTCTAAACGTGGATGGGAAAAAACCGGAGGACCCGGAGAAAACAATCCATGCCGCCACGGGGGGAGAGAGACATGCAAACTCCAAATATACAGCAGGCGCCAGGGTCGGGATCGTACCCTAGACCTCCTGTATACCAGGCGAGATAGTTAACATCTCGCTACGGCGGTGGCGTAGATGGTGAGTGTGCAGGCGGTGCAACTGCGCCCGGAGTCCACGGGCCAGAGGGGGCAACGTTTAACCAACGGGCAATTTCTCTACGCGGCCGTCAATTGTGCATCGCGTGATGGCGCACTCTGCTCGAGAATGTCCACAAGCACATTGCGCTACGAATGCGCGCGCGTCATTTACAACGATGATGCCCACAACGGCGTCCGCTGGGGGACGCTCCTCCGGTGGGGCCCTGTCTCTGGCCATCCTAGAGAGGGCCGCGTTCATGAAGGCAGCGTGCGTCACTCGCGATTGATGAGAGAGGGGGGGGGGGGGGTGCCGCTGTGACAGCACCGGGCTCATTGCGTGGCTTTCAGGTACGGAGGTGTGGGTCAGCGCTTGCCTGTGGGAGGGAATGCCTACGATTCACATCAGCCTCAAGTGTGCCGAATGTTGAAGATAATCATCGGCGTTGAGCACGGTTAGCACTTTGATGTGCGGGCCGCCAGTGCTCTGCAGGGTTGTTGTAGGCGTGGTGCTTTTTTTTGTAAAGGTGGGCCTACCAGGTGACATTGTTCAATGTTGTCACCTCGTACGCATGGCGGGGTTGCACTGGGTTATCGGGTTTCAGTCTCCGCGCCGAACATCCCAATGCAGGGAATCTTCTGAAAACGAGTCTCGACATTTGGGTAAATAATACATGAGCCTTTCAAATGTCCTCCTCGATTTGATTCCTTGTAGGTCTCAATGAACCAATTAGACAATCAGGATTTTGATAGATTTAACATACCTTTCAGACAGTAACTCTATTGGATAGACCCGAATATTAATATGTTATGCCCACCTTGCCAGGTACACACGTGTTTGTCGTCCAGCCAATGCGGAGTGGATTTTGAGTGACATTTCCTCATCTATATGTAGGATTTCTCCAGGCACTCTGGTTTCATTACATACTCAAAGTACTCCACTACCTAGGCATGACCCTCCTGAAATTGTGTGCTGAGACTCAGGAAGGCGTTCTTGTTAAAATATTTATTTTGCATGAAATAAAACCCTTAACTCATTTTGTTTGTCCCATGTTCTAATCCGTGTGGGCCATGTACACGTGAACAGCCCATTGCACTGTTGGATGAGGGCTCCCTCATGCCCTGCCAGTCATGCTGCTTGACAAATGCATTACCAAGGTGTGCAGTGTTTGCCGGCGTGAGCAGCACAATGGATGTTTCCGTGCCGTCCGATTTGTTCCAAACGCGTAAAGGAACTCTGCCTTGAAAACGGCCGACTGGTGGCGACGTTCAACGACCACAAAGAGACTTGTACAACCCCGCTCGCAGACTTCCCACCGACTCGACCTCCAAACCTTGTTCCTGTCGCGGTGCCTCGCCCCTGTCTACTCGCCGATGGCGTGGTCGTGACCTGCGTGTTCAGGTTGCGGGGACCCCGGGGCCAATTTAAGAGTTTGGCCCTACGTCGTTGTTCCATTATCGCAGCGTGCACGTGGCACGGCACAGCCCCAAAGCTGCAACCGTCCCCTCCGAGGGCTCCGCGCTGTTGCTCAACCGGGCGGTGATGTCATGCCGTGGTGCGGAGTGTCACGTGGGGCTGCGTATAAACTAGAACCATTATTTTTAATTTTTACCAGGTAAGGCCCATTGAGCTATGTTAGCCCCCTTTGTTTCAGAAGCGATCTGCCCGTAAACGATAGCTCGACGAAGTGTCTTATCAGGCGGAAATGTATAGCAGCCAAATAGTACTCTTAAGCGCGCGTTTCTAAATGTGGAGGGAAAAACCGCAGGACCCGGAGAAAAATCCACGCTGCCACGTGGGGAGAGAGAGAGAGACACACAAACTCCAAATATACAGCTGGCGTCAGGGTCTGGATCGAACCCACAAGCTCCTGCATACCAGGCGAGGTAGTTAACAATCTCATGCGCCCCTAATGTAGTGCCTCGCTGTGCGCCTGTCTCACTGTTTCCAGCCACCAGGCCGACCTGAGAGTTCCAGGCTGACTCGTTTATAGATGGGCGACTGTGTTGCGCAAAAGAAAAAAAACCGGCGTCAGTCGGTTTTGTTATTATTTGCCAGGTGAGCGCATCGGTTGTGCGCGTTGACGCGTGGTGGTGCCGGGGTTGGGTGGTGCAAAGGGCGAGTGGGGTGGAGTTGGGGGGCGGACAGAATTTTTTGCAAATGTGTGTGTGTGTGGTGAGATTGTTGTTTCAAGGGTCCACCATACTCGTTCCTCTACAGCCGTGCTTCACGAAACGAGTGCATTTGTCGCGATCATAAAACAAGGAGTCTGCGATGTAAGAATCCATCCGGAGCGTGAGCTGGCATCGTCAGCAGTGGACGTGCTCCCCCTTTTGGCCGGCTGTTAATGAGTTGTCCAATCGTTGATTTGAAAATATTTTAAGACGACGATTCGCAACTGGATGAAATGGATGAAACGCAAGTGCCCTCTGACTCATATTTGCTCCAATGCTGGTGGTGGAGATATGGACAATTTTTTTGCCAAAGAAATCAGCGGAGAAGGACCTTTCTTTGACGTTTGATTTGGGCCCTTAAGAGTTTTCCTTGGCAGAGCAGAAAACAAACTTTCCACGTCCCATATAAATTCAGCGGCTTACGTGTGGCCTTTAAGCCGAACAGAGTCACGAATATTTCAGGAAAAGACCACCCGTATTGCCTCTTTGCGGACTGTGTGGTCAAGAGCTGTTAGCGAGCACCTATTAAGGCTGCCACAGCGCATGAGCGGCTGGTGTGGCCAGAACCACGCCCGGCCGCCTTTGTCTCCCCAGTGCTGATGTTTCTATACCACAACAGTTACTCGGTGGGGAGATGCGTGGTGAGCTGCCCACTGCACTACCGCGCCCTACAAATATACTGAAACACATGCACATACGACAACTCTGCTGACCTGCACTTGTTGAAGAGCGCATGTTCGCACACATACAAAGGACAAAGTTCCCGCGTATAGCCCACACAGGTTGCTGGGGCAAGTCCAGTTAGCGAGCACCTATGAAGGTCAGAACGGTGCACAAGGAAGTGGTTGCGTGGCCGGCACATTGCTGGGTCGCCTTTGATTATATATTTAAAAGCCACCGCACAAGGTACTCATTCAAAGGCAGTCGACTTGTGCACGGTTATTGGTCGTGAGCAGGTATCGAACTCGTGTCGCCGGGTTCGTAGCGCAGTGCGCTAACCACCACACTACCGCCCCCTCCAAAGACAAAGATCCCCGGTATAGCCTGGACAGACTGTTGGGGCAAGTGCTGATATCGAGCACCCTATAAAGGCCGGCACGGCACACGAGGGTATGGGTGGCCAGCAACCAGTGGCGATGTTTACGCACCGCACCGGGTACTCATTTGAGGCTGAGTCGACCTAAGGGAGGCCCGGGACCGATGCAGATAATCGTCACCCACGGTGTTGGCCGTGAGCGTGAATCGAACTCGGGTCGCCGGGTTCATAGCGCTAACCGCTACGCCACCGCTCCCCCCCACACACACACCACCATCACCACACGACGTGCGTTGAACCGGTTGTTGGAGGCAAAGTGCCGCTGCCCAAACCAGTTTGGACCAGTTGTGGAGCCACCAGACGTCTGAGGATGAAAAAATGCAGACCTCCTCCGCCGCCACCACCACCACCAACCACCACCACAACACCGCCGGCATTTTAAACACCCGCAGGTGTTGTTGCATCCCACTCTGGCGTGAAGCACGCGGACTCGGAGCACGCGCTAAGCGCACAGACACACGGCACCACGATCACCAAAACAAAAAAAAATTAACCCGTAAAAACAAAGTTTTTCACTATAAATCCTTTATATGCGTGGCATCGGTTTTATTTTATTATTCATTTCTGTTTATCTTGAGTAAGAGTTTCATTTTTATCACATTGGTATTTTAAATGAAATATGAAAAAAAAATGTCCTAAAAAGTGGAACATTTTGGAATTTTTTGTCCGCGAAAATAAATTGTCACGCACAACGAGTCTGTGTGCAAAACGTCAGCTCGATTGGATCACGGGAAGTGGGTTAAAAAACGACCGAAATATTTGCACGGTCGTAAGCGCGCAAGCAAGCAAGTGAACTTAAAAATAAAGGATTAAAAAAACCCCCAACTCAAAAACCGTCAATTACACTGGTCAACAAAAGAAATTTTTTTTTCTGGCCTGGACTTTTGCAGCTGTTTTAGACTAATTTCAGGGTGCTGATTCCAAATCTGATCTTAGATTTGCTCTATCACATCAAATTTTTATGCTATCGGCATACCCCATTTTCATTGATTTTACCCGAAATTAACTCTGTCAGTTATGATTGCAAGTTGTTGCGAGTGAGTGACTGCTTTAGTGTCAAAATATGGTGCTGTATTTTTAGGATAGTGTGTTTATAATATAATTTTATGTAGATATCCATTTATTTAATATTTTTCTTCTGCAGTTTTTATTGAAAATGCAATATTTGATATCTCAAAAACTTGATGTGATAGACAAAAACTGATGCCAGATTTTGAATCAGCACCCCAAAATTACCCTAAAACCATTGGAATACCTTATGCCAGAAAAAGTGTGTTGACCAGTGTTATATTCCTTGCGTGCAATGCCAATTTGTTCAGGAGGGGAAATGCGCCGATGGGGAGGTTTTGCTCGCCACGGAAAGAAAAAAAAGAGAGAGGGGGCTTCAGGCAGTACATGTACTAAAAAATTGGAACGATACAGAGAAGATGAGCATGGCCCCTGCGCAAGGATGACACGCAAATTCGAAAGTCGGTGGAGTTTCGTTTGCCACGTGGCTTCCCCATCATCAGTTTGTCGCTGGCACGGGCGGCATCACGCCGCGTCGAAAAGTTGACGCGCAAAAAGTAGGGCACAAAGAGAGGTGGGGTGGGGGGGGGGGGAGCCCGTCAACATCGCGAGAGGTGCCTCGTGCCTCGGCACATTGGGACGGTTTGTTGTAAGAGAATATAACCACAACCAGTAACGCGTGAGCGAATCGCACGGGCCGTTGTGGGCAACGCGTTATCTATCGGGAGAGTGTTTTTTTTTTGGACGAATTTAAGAAGTGTACCCTCGAGAATTGACATCGGTGGGAGACATTTAAAAAAAGGGGTGGGGGGGGGGGGTAGAGGGTAAAGGTGCGGCAGTGACATTACTTGTTCAGTCCACTGCTGGATAAGACTCCACTCTCGACTAAGTAGTAGAGGACCCCCTCCATGGAGGCTTCTTTGGCCTACTCTCTTTTGATGTTGGTCAGATTTCTTGAAGGAGGTGGGAATACTCACACTTTACCCCGCCACAAGCGACCTGCCCGATCAACCTAACAGGTGTACTCAGTGTATACTCTTTGGTTATTTCGGTAAAGTCACGTAGAAAGAAAATGAATTAAATAATAGAATACGACGTTTCGATTGCAACACAAGCAACCGTCATCAGGTAGAACTAAATTTGAGAGAGAGACAAAACACAGACACGGATACACACAGACAGACACACAAGCAGAGAGAGTGACAAACAATTACTCACCAGTGACTCACGGCCTACCCGTACCCGTACCCGGCCGCATCAGGGTCGCAAACGGGTACCCTACCCGCACCCGGCCGGGTACAGGTACCCGGGTATCGGGTAGGGTACGGGTATCGGGTACCCGGTTGCGACCTTTGGCCATCTATGAGCCACCTCTGGGCCTGGGGTGCCGTGGTGGCGAGTGGTTTTCTCCCTCGCCTGGTCTGCATGAGGCCATGGGTTCGATCCCGATCCTGACGACGCCTGCTTGTATATTTGGAGTTTGCGTGTCTCTCTCCTCGTGGTGGCGTGGGATTTTCTCCGGGATCCTCCGGTTTTTCCCACCGCGTCTAGAAACGTGCGTTTCGAGTGTTTGGCAACGATGAATTTTCCACGTGATTAGCCAATTCGTTGAGCTATCATTTGTGGCCAGGTGGCTTCTGAAAAAGAGCAAAGAACTCAGTGGGCTTTAGCTCGTATATGTATTTTTAGTTTTACGCGACACCTTGCGCTGACGTTTCAAACAAAAGGGGTGTGCCGTCAGGGTCAGCCTTGCAAACGAGACTTTTTCCTGGCCTCTTTACGAGCTTTCACCTGGTTAAACAAAACAAGCTTGACTTGAACATGCCGCCGTGAAGTAGATGGCTCTTGCCGAGATCCACAAGGTTATGAGGCGGTCCAGAGTTTGCTCGCCGAAACAAACGCTGCTCGTTTATACGTGACGGTGACCGATAGGCCGATAGAACAAGACGTTAACGACTCGTATCAAGAGGCAGAGAAGACTAACAGCAATCGAGGACCGTAGACCAGAGGTCGCAATCGGGTACCCGATACTCGTACCCTACCCGATACCCGGCTACCCGTACCCGGCCGGGTACGGATACGGGTACCCGTTTGCGACCCTGATGCGGTCGGGTACGGGTAGGCCGTGAGTCACTGGTGAGTAACCGTTTGTCACTCATTTCGGGTAGGGTACGGGTAGGATACGGTACCCATTTGCGACCCTGGTGCGGCCGGGTACGGGTAAGGAATCAAAATCCGTTTGCGACCTCTGCCGTAGACTTGATTGCCAACCCAAAGCGGGTTGAGAGTTTGTCTTGTCTAATTATTGTACCGCAGCGCCCTCTAGTGTCACACCTGCAACGGTTTGAAGTTCTGGATACCGGCGACCGATGTAGCTGCAGCACGATGGGGGTAGCGTTTGCGAGTCTTGCCGGGGTAATTGTTTGCATCGACGTATTGTTAACGCAGTGACGTGCGGGTTCGAAGCACTGGTCATCAACTAAGCAATACGGAACAAAAAAACTTAAAAGTGGGCAGAGAGGCGTGGGGAGTTTGACACGTAAGCGTGGGTAGTTGCGCGATTGGAATTACGCTGTGCGTTTGATGAGATTATTTCGCACCGTACGTAGCCAACCGTGCTAATGGGAGGTGCAGGGGAAGGACAACAAACTGAACACAAAAAAATCAGTTTTAAAGAAGTTAGTTTTGAATCTAGATTTAAAAGCGCATAGCTCCAGTGGCTTCCTAATATCGAAAAGAAGAGCGTTCCAGACGGCCGAAGGCGATGACCGTCTTTGTTCGATGCCTGTAAGACAGAAAGAGGACCACGTGGATTGGAGAACATCCGCAGGTTAATGACATCATCCAAACTGTTGATCATCACGGCCGAGGGTCAATGAGCCAAGGAGAGGAGCGTGTCCGAGAGCACGTCCGCCGAGGAGATGGAGCGATAGAAATAATTAATGTCCAGCTGCTGAATGTTCGATTTATAATTGATGTTTTGGGTTAGGTCCCTCCAACCAACCGACATTGCCAAATTATCAATTTCCACGTTCCAGTATTACGTTGGCAGTGAAAAACGTTGCGTGTCAAGCCGGTACCGGATTATTACACGGCAGGAGGGCGAGCGGCTTGCGTGAGGTCTTCGCTTAGCAGTGGGATTGACCGTGACGACGACGACGACGACGTTACCAACGATCGAGCTCACGCCCAATCCGTTGTGCGCGCGCTTCCCCGCCCGCTGCAGGTGCTGAAGCGGAAGGAGCGCGAGTGCGAGCACGAGGTGGAGTGGCTGGCGCGCGAGAAGATCAGCCTACAGCAGCGCCTGGCCGCGCTGCGCAACGAGCTCTCGTCCGCGCTGGAGCCGCACGAGGTGGACGCGCTGGTGCGCGGCGCCTCCGGCGGGCACGGCGACGGCGACGGGCAGCGCCGGCCGTCGGACCTCCGCGACGGCAGACGGGGCAACCCGTACGACGACGACGGTGGCGAGGACGAGGGGGACGACGACGACGACAACATGGACGAGGACCGCAACGTCGCCGACGACGACGACCAAACGTCCACCGCGTCCGGTGAGATTCGGCGCGCGCCGCCGGAGCGTGTGTGATCAGCCGAGCCCTGCGACGACGACCTCTCCGGCGCGGGGCTCGACATCCGCCCCGGCGGGTTGTTGGGGGGGGGGGAGGGTGGGTCAGGGCGGTCGCTAGATCGTGCTTTTCACCCGGGTGACCTTTTCACCCACCCGGGTGACCTTTTCCCCTGGGCGCCCAGAGCGTGGTCTTAAAGCAAGGGCATGTTTGAGACTGGCAATGTCAATTATTCAAGGTGGACACGTGTCCAAATGAATACGCTGTGACGCTGATCGGGCTCCAGTGCAGAATTCAAATGCCGCGTTGAACGTCACAGCGAAACACTGCGGCACGCAAAGAGGTTCCGCGGCAAGAAAACTAAAACTCGCAGTTGAGCTCACAGACGGCCTTCTCTTTCTGCCGCTTCCGTCCCACTGCCCGACCCTTTGAATTGCCCCCCAACATCTCGTCCAATGGCGTCGCGCGGTCGGCAAAGGGCCGTAGTGCATGTCAGCGCTCCCTACCCCACCGTGTCCGTAGCCCCGCGCCAGGCGCACTCCCGCCACGTGGGTTCCGGTGCAGTTGACACTGCCCGCAAACTCGACATCAGACGCCGTCGTTCGGCCTAGCTCGTCCACACGTCTCCACCGTGACTAATATAGACTCGTAGTGACACGCTCCTGCATAGCTCTGCTGCAGCTCGACTTCGCCTATCGCGTCTCTGAGGTCTGCGCTTGGAGCCGTTTAACATCACGACGCTCGTGCCAGGGTGCCGCGGACGTTGGCAGTAACTGGCGCTGTGCTTTTCTTGCAGAGGGGGAGGAGGGCCCGGAGCCGGCTGTCGTCAACCTCCCGCTGTTGGTCAACCCGGAGCACGCGCCGCGCGACCTCTCACTCGCCAAGTGGATGGTCGCGCCTCTCTCTGGATCTCCGCACTGCTTGGGGCAGGCTCCCCGCAACAACGTAGTGCAGCAGAATCAGCAGCAGCAGCAGCAACAGGGCAATCACTGCACTCCACTGAACTCCACGCAGCAGCAGCGGCCGCAGCAGCAGCAGCCGCAGCAGCCTCAGCAGCAGCAGCAGCCGCAGCAGCAGCCGCAGCAGCAGCAGCAGCAGCCTCAGCAGCAGCAGCAGCCTCAGCAGCAGCAGCAGCAGCCTCCGCAGATGGCAGTGGCTTCACCTCAGGGCCACGCAACTGCCCCGCCACCTGGCAGCGCCTCGTACCGAGGCCCCGCACCGCGGCCGGACCCGTCGCGCCCCGCGCAGCCCCAGCCGACGTGCAACGGTGCGCCGAGCCGGGCCCCGGTTGCTGCCCTGCCGCAGGGCGAGCGGGCGGCACTGCCGGCCTCGCGGCCCGTGGCGGCCGTGGTGTCGCCTCGCGGCTGCGTGGTGTCACGGGCGCCGGCGATCGTGGCTCGGGTCACTCCCGTCATTCAGACGTCGGTGATCCGTGGGCCCACGAACCCAGCCCCGTTGAAAAACCACAACCTCAACATCAATCATTTTCCGCATCAGCACAACCATCACAATCATAGCGATAATCATCACCACCACCAACACCACCACCATCATCATTTCCAGCAACATCACCAGCAGCAGCAGCATCTCGAACACAACCACCATCAGCACCATCACCTCGCGGGCAGTCTCGCTCACACACCTCCGCCGCTGGTCAAGCCGCAGTGAGAGGGACGATGCGGGGACTGCGTTTGTCTCGGTTGAAGAGCTGCGGGACCGGTGGCATGGGTGGGCACAGAGTTGCCTCCATCTGCCTCCCCAGGACGTCGAAGCAGACCGAGCGGAGGAGATCCCCCGCTAGGTTCGCGTTTATTCCTCCACTCTCGATCCATGATCATGTGACCTTGGAGAAGCGGAGGAACAGAATCAACAGCAGTGGCAAAACTTAACGTGCACTCCGGGGGCTTGTTGTTCGAGTTGTGGAATATCCCTGCTGTCCGTCAGCGGCTCTGGGTTTTGGTGGCGGCTTGCCCATCGCGTGTTGCTCGGGCGGGTTGGGTGCTCTTGTTAATCCTTCTCGAGCCGGCTCCGTTTCACCTCACCTTTCGCAATATGGGCGGAAGACCCACGAAGCTCTGCCTCTCTCACATGTGAATCTTCCCGCGCACTCTGTCGAGCACTGGATGCGCCCATTGAAGGAGCTGGAATCTTCCACGACGGTTGAAGTGCACCAAGGACCAATCCAGCTCCACTCTTATACGGCAACAAAAGGAGCTGTAAAAGTTAAAAAAGTAAAAAAAAAGAAGAGAAAAACCCTCGGATCCTCTTTTTCCACAACGAGCACTTGACTTGTCCAGCGGTTTGGGCGAATCACACGAGAGCGAGCCAATCACCTGCGCTTGCCCAGAACTAGCTGGCCTAGCTGCAGCAGGGCCAGGTGCTCGCGAGAGACCGAGTCAACCCGACGAGGTACCGAACGGCGACGAGGGACGGCCTCACCACGAACTCGAGGCAGCGAGGCCTGCCTAGGCAAGAGACACTCATCAAGTGCTAATTCCATAAGAAAAAAAGTTTTCCCCCCCCACCCAACCCAACGAGGAGGTTCTCATGCGGCACCTCGAGTTGTTTTTTCTAAGTGCGTGCGTGCAACGTGTGTGTGCGCGTCTCTCCGTCTCCTCGAAGCCCACACACGCTACTGTCATCATTTTGACACCGATGGTTAGCAGATATTATCTACTTGTGCCTCCCTCCATCCCTGCCTCTCCCCCCTCCCCAAAAAAAAAATCAAGTACCTAGCACTAATAGTTTATATATATGTAGAAAAATAAAAAAAATAAGAAAAAAGAATAACCGTGCAATAGGCTGCGCTGAAGTTGGTGAAGACGGAGGAGACTGCTCTCAGCTTGCGGTGCGAGGGCATCGCTTTGATCGCAAGCTGCCCCCCCCCCTGCTCTCGCCCCGACCAACGGAGGATAACGCACGGCCTGCGTCCCGCGTTATCTCTCCGAGCCACCTTGGAGGGGGTAGCGCGGAGCAGGTGGACATGAAATGGGGTGGACGCGAGGGTTGGCTGGCAGCGTACGCGGCTCACTCGTTCGCTCAGTTTGTTTCATCCGTCTGTAGCGGCCTCCTCCCCCACCCCCCCCACCCCCCCCATTTATCCGCTGCTACTCTGAGAGGATGAGCGAAGTCCGCGGTGCCCGATGGACCTTGTCCGGCCACACCACCACCATCGCCGCCGTCACCCCGTCTGATTATTGTGGTTGTGACCGGATGGACTGGCAAAAGAAACATTGTTTATTTTTTAACTCTCACGTTTACTTTTTTTCTGGACTACGAAGCAGATTGTTATTTTTTTGTGACCATCAGTGGCAAGGCTAGAGGCTTGGGAATTACAAAAGAAAACAGCCTCGATCGTAAAAAAAAGAGATGTTTCCAAGCCAATCGTGGGTTGAAATGCTGTATCTGCATAGACTAGAGGATTTTGGACTAGAAGCATAATAAAAGGTAAAAAAATGTTTATAAAAAATAAACATAAAATAAAAAAACAACAGCTTATAATTTGTTCAGGTAAAAAAACTAAAGCTATATCGGGAGAATGCTTTGTGTTGGAAAAATTATGCTCGTATTCTACAATGTTTGAATGTTGAACTTCTTTCGTACCGTACGTAGCCAATCGGAGGTGCGAGGGCAGGCCAACAAAGCAACACTACTACTACTACAATCAACACTACTGCCATGTTAAGTCAGGTTCATACGATGCCCCTTTTGGATATCGCAGTACGTACGTTCTTTCGGACCGATCACATCGCACCGATTCTACGGCGTACGTAGCCAACCGGTTCACTGTTTAGGTTTCAATGTGATCCACATTGAAATGTGATCCACATTGAAACCGAAACTGTGGATTCAGGATGGGAGAACAAAAAAAATCAACTCTGTTGTTTTTTTTTCCTCTCTTTCTGTCGTTGCTAAATTTCTTCCCTCATTTTATAATTTTAAAAAATTTCACATTTTTAAAGTAACTCTTTTTGTTTATGTCCTCCCACCCCCCGAACCCCCCCCCCCCCCATTTGTGTTATTACTGTACGTTTGTTTATTATTGTTGTTATTGTTTTTGGGCTGTAGACACTGATGTGACCGCGAGCTGTATGAAAGGAGCTATCGGCCAATCCACCGCCTGTAATTGTCCGTGACGGCACCGCAGCGCCTGGTGGATTTCGTGACGTGCGGCCCCGCCGAGCTTTGACGATCGCCACCGTTGGCGCCCCGTTAGCCACGTTCCTTTGCCGGACAGCCGTGGGTGGAGAAACTACGGCCACGCGGGCCGGACATTTCGTTTCGTGTAACCCGTGGCCACACGAGGCCTACGCAAGGCTTTATTTATGGAACATTTGCCAGAGCTCAGATCCCTCGCCATTAAGCCCTGGGTCCTACTACTTCCGCAACAGCTTGCAAGCAATATTTATTCGTCACTGCAAACATCTTCAGCCGCACTAATCGGGTACTAGAGGGGACATGTTTTCGGCCCGCCAACAACACTGTGTTTCGAACTTTTCAATGCGCTCCACCGCTTGTGTCCATGCGCGAGGCCTCCTGCCGAAGGTATTCGGAAGTCCTCTCCGGCTGTCGGCACTCGAAGGAAGCGATTGCCTCCCCACCCACCCCTGCTGTAGGGTCTTGCGACGATCTTGCAGCGAGGCGTTCCGGAGCGAGGCAGCCGCCTGGTTGAATCTGTCCATGATGCACTACCTAATTAAATCGTGCCGCCCTCTCCGATGTGCGCTCATTGATTGAGATGCACTTCTGCTACACAAGTAATTGTTTTTTTGAAGTCTTAAAGATTTAAGAAATCTTTAATGTCTGTGATTCCTGTATGAAGTGTATCTGCTCTGTGTGACCTCCCTCGATCTCGTGATGTTTCTCATTTTTAAGTTCCCCCCCTCCTCCTCACCTTGAAAGAAGACAAAACCCCCACCACCAACGGTGATTGACGTTTTTTTTGAAAGCATGCGCGCTTTTTAAATATTTACGAGGAGCGTTTGAAGGCTATGCGGTGTTGTGCGAGCCCGGGAGCACAGAGACGATGCGGTGAAGGCTGCTGCATGGATCGGACGTGGAGTTTGTCGATCGCATCTGTAATTACTGTATTAATGAGTGTCAAGACTCCATTCCAAAGACTCCACTGCTGGGTTATTCCCCCCCCCCCCGCCAAAGCGGCCTCCCATCCTGCAAGACAGCGTCTCCGCACCTCGATGACCCTACCGGTCCTCGCCATTCAAACACAGATGAAGTTGTTACATGCCGCATGAGCCTGATGATTGCTAAATAACGCACGTTCCGTGCGACGTATACTGCTGATTCGCGTGAAGATGGAGATGTCCTGCATTTGCACACGTCTTGTTCGTGCGGCGCGTGTGGATCTGTGCCGTACGACATGATCCAGACCGCGCCGATTCATACTAAGACAGGGATCTTGTGCGCGCAACGCCGATTCAAATTTGCACATCTTCTGTGTGTGGACGCGAGGCTTCGATTAAAATTAAATGGAACAGTGCGCGCGTAAGAAGCGCGCGCCCAAGGGCTGTAAGGTTAAAGGCCCCTCGACTTCACGCGGGGTGGCGCGCTTTAGCAATCATCAGGCAAGCGCGCGCGTAACAGCCTTGCGCTTGCGAGCGGAGGATGACCGATCGGTGGAGCGCGGTGGGGCACGCGGCTGCAACGGCCGGCGTTTTGGGAAGCCCCTGTTTGTAAAGCGCGCCACACACTCGCCAAAAAACTAAAAACGTGGTCTCCTCCCCCCCCCCCGGCGTTTGCTCGTCATGAATGAACGCGCGAGGGTGCGGGGCAGGGCAGCGGCCAAATCCTGATCGCCAGCGAAGGCCACAGTGTGGGACATGGTTCTTCCATTTCGTCAGTAAACACGGGCAGTTGCGCACAAAACTAAAATAAATAAATAAAACACGTGAGAAACGCTACGGATGTAACCCGCCGAAGCCTTACACATTGACGTGAGCAACCGTGACTGGACTAGCGCCGTCAGGCTGTACCGGGTTATCCCCTTGTTGTACGCTAAGAGGAATACAAACATAAAATAAAACCAGACGATTTGCACAGAGAAAAGCCAGGTTATTTCTACTACTGTTTGTACTCCCCCCCCCCCCCCCCCCCGTTGCCTTGTACGGAACCCTCCTGCACAAATGAAATAAAAAAAATGTAAAGAAAATCGAACAGGAATCTTTATCATTATCGCAATGTTTATCCTGGAGAAATCCGATGGAGAAATCCGATGAGCTATGAAGCTCTCCCCCCCCCCCCCCACAGATGTCTGGAAGACATAAAAACGACCGGAAGCCTCCATTTTTAAATATTTTATATTAAGTTCACTCGCTTGCTTGCTTGCGCGCTTACGACCGTGCAAATATTTCGGTCGTTTTTTAACCCACTTCCAGTGATCCAATCTAGCTGACATTTTGCACACAGACTCGTTGTGCGTGACAATTTATTTTCGTGAAAATTTTTTTCCTAAATTTTCCACTTTTTAGGAATTTTTTTTTCATATTTAATTTAAAATACCAATGTGATAAAAATGAAACTCTTACTCAATAAAAACAGAAATGAATAATAAAATAAAACCGATGCCACGCATATAAGGGATTTATAGTGAAAAACTTTGTTTTTATGGGTTAATTTTATATTTATTCCGCATGGTCCTGTATATTACAATCGTTATTGATCATTTCAATGAAACAACTTTAACACATTCGTCAATAAGTGTCGCCATAAAAGGATAAAAATTTACAAGAGGCCGACGTTTTGTGCAATGGTCCTTCTTCATAGCACATGATGTGCTTATGGAGAAGGGACATTGCCTGAAACGTTGCCTATTATATATTTTTTCCCTTTTTAAGGTCACGGTGTAATTGACGAATGTGTCGAGGTTGTTTAATTATTTGTCATGGCGCACCACTGCAAACTTATCAGCAGCAGCATCACCATAAAAAAAAGTAATAATGGCCATACATGGACTCCTCTATTTACGAACACTCGACTTTCAAACTTTCCGAGATCCGAACAAACCTGTCCGCAAGTTCAACCGCCGCGCAATCGATGGCGGTAGTGGTGGTGGTGGAGTGTCGTCACCCAGCATTCCCAGAATGTCTGCCTGGGCCGCCACGGTTGTTGCGTTGTTGCATTGTCGCTGTGCGAACTCAATGCGACGTGCTCGGTGCTACTATTTAGACTTAACTTTCGTGACTGCAGGAATTCGTATTCTTGGTTCTTTCGGTAAAGTCACGTAGATAGAAAACCAAAAATAGATATTTTTAAAATAATAAATAATAAAATAAAAATTTCATTATATATATTTTAAATAATAAATTTTTACTTAAAACTTTCGTGACAGCAGGAATTCATATTCTCGGTTCTTTTGGTAAAGTCACGTAGATAGAAAACTAAAAAAATAAAACACTTTATAAAATAAAACCCAAAAAGTTATTACATTAACTTTTTAAATAAAAATAAAATAAATAAATAGAAAATAATCCATTTTGACTTAAAACTTTCGTGATTGTAGGAATTCATATTATTGGTTCTTTCCGTGAAGTCACGTAGATAGAAAATAAAATTAAAATAACAGATGAAAATAATAAAAGCAAAAAACCCACAATAACCCCCCCCCCCCAGCATGTCTCAGAAGCGTGAGAGTGGTGAAAGTATTGAGGGTGGTAGTCGCGAAAGCCTACGTGTTAAAATAAGCGTGGAAGTTGGGATTATGAGCGAGTCGGATCATGGGCCGAGAGGCTATAAGTGTGGGTTCTGGGGCATGAACTGAGAGATTGTTTGATGGAGTGTGTGTGTGTTGGAGTCAGAGGAAGGGGTGGCATGCGGTTTGCGTTTTGGAGTGCACATTGAGATCAGAGCTGGTCATATTAGGAGTTGCGAATTGGGGTTGAAAGTGTGCGTTGGGGAGGGGGGGGGGGGGTCAGAGGACGGGCATGTGGCTTGCGCTTTGGAATGTGGGAGTACGTATCGAGTAAAAGGGGTGCGAGTTGAATTTACGAGCGCGAGTTAAGGTCCGACCCTGGCGGTGACACGGCTTGCGATGGGGCAGCAGCGGGTTCGGGTGATGAGTTTGAGCGGAGCTCAGAGGAGGGTGAAGGTGTCGGGGCAGGGAGTGCGAGACGCGTTTCGTCTACCCTCGAGCGCCTCCGACACATTCATCTCGGCCCCCCCCCCCACCCGCCTCTTAAAACTCTTCCTGCACCTCCTACGTCTCCATGATCAGTAACCAATTCATACTCTTAGGCTTTTTCGGTAAAGTCACGTAGGTAAAAAATAAAATGAATAGAAGTAATAATAGAAATAAAATAATAAATATATTGTTACTTCTATTAATTTTATTTTTTTACCTACGTGACTTTACCGAAAAAGCCTAAGAGTATGAATCCTTGCAGTCACGAACGCTTCAAATCTAGAAGTAACCAAGTGTTGCTGCCCCCCCCCCCCCAACCTCGAACGTCTTCATATTTAGCTTTGATTTAACGTCGATGTATTTTGTTGTTGTTGCAAGATTCGCGTCAACAATGTTACGTGCCAAAGACGGCTCGGCATCTCTATGACGTTCCTCCTCGGGGCGTTATCCTTTTAGTTTTTGTGCCTTCTATTAATTTTGTCCCCTATTGCGCCATCGGTGTCACGCCACGGGAGACGCGGAACCCTTCATGTTGGACAACGCCCAAGGAAGTGGACACTACGGAGCTGGCCTCTAAAATTCCCTTCAGGTGGCCACTGACCCTCCACACAAGTAGCGGGCAGCATTTTGCCCACACGCTCCGCTGGAATTCTCATCACGTGACAATCAATCCGATGCTTTTAGATTCTCAGAGTTGGGACTTTAGTCAACGGTGACCGGGTTGAGACCATCAACTCACCACACTTACACAAAAAAACCCGGCTTCACCGCAGGTGTTTGCCTGGATCTGCAGAACAGGGATATCAACGGCTCAGCGCTCCGACCTCTCAGCCACCCGGCCGCCACTTCGCCCTCTCACGCTGGATTGATGACTCTCATCTGGGATTAGTTCGTAATACGGGTAGAACGCACATTTAAACACAAGCCCCCACTTCATTGGCATGGGGTCAAATCGTCAACAAAAGACTCCGCGGCCAATTTTACTCCTCCGAAATTAGGCATCGAACTCGCCAAATTGCAATCCAAAATCTGAGCATCACTCTCCGAAGCAACTGAACCATTTCTCCCATCCTCGCATCTCTCAACTCATGCAGATTGATAAAACGAATTTCTTTACGACCTGCTTTTTTGTGTGTAGTTTGGTGTACTTCCCGTGCACCTCCGATTAGCAGAGTTTGGGTACGTACGGCGCTAGAGAAGTTCAACATACGTATATACTATGAATAACTGCTCGACAGGTCCCTCTCGCAGACTCATCCTGGTCTATCAGTTCTCACCTGGTTCAAATAAATAGAAAAAAAACCACACCAAACCCTTGCCCATCGCGTGGGGTATAGTTCTTGAAAAATAGCTGCAATTGGCAAATCCGTGACCCGCAAACTCAAAACTCGAGTATGGTTCAAGGTTCACGGTTCACGGGCCTCCTTTTGTTTCGTGTTATCTTTACATGAACCCCAAACACGAAACGAGAAGCATTTCTCACGTAAAATATGATGAATCTTTTTCCGACAGTGTTAAAACAGAACTCGTGCGGCAAATGTACAAGAATGGGGGAGGTGAATAGAAAGAGAGCCAGCGAGAGAGAGAATGTGGAAAGAAAATTCTTTCGGGCGGCTGAACCTCGCTGGGAAAAAAACGCGCAACCTGGGACCCGAGCGTTGGGCTTGCGTGGGAGACGCGATGCAAACGAGACGGCGTTCTTACTTGGCAGCAGCATCAGCAGCAGCATCGCGATCAGTGTTTGCAGTTAAATGCATCCAGTCCAGGAACGTCTCTTTATGTACAGGAATCTCGTGGTCAATCGATAATGGTCGAGCACACCTCGATACATCTGGCGTGAATGGTCAAATCCGCGATGGAAAAAGCCACGATGGTGCGTGGTTTTGGTGTAAACTTGAACGAAAGAAGTGTTTGTATGTGGGGGGGGGGGGGGGGGGATTGTGGGGGTCGCAGTCCTCTTCATCGACCGAGCGAATGCAGGAACGTCCGCCGCTCGCCGAGCGCTGATGTCTCGTGGAGACACTCGGGAACAACAGAGATAGGTGGCAGGATTATTATTCCTCCTCCTCCAGGAACGCAAGATAAAACCGAGCAGGTACCATTGCTGCGGCAGATGATGGGGATGATGGCCTGGCGGAAAGCAGTCAATCAAACGCCGCACATTATAGTCAACACGCGAGTTTGCGTTTTTAATGTAGAATTATTTTTTTGATGAAAAAAATTGAAAGAAATCCCAACAGGGCCGATGGGGGGGGGGGGGGTGGCTGGTGGGGGCTGGTGGGTGGTACTGGTGGTGGGGGGGGGGGCTGGTGGGGGCTGGTGGGTGGTTGGTGGGGGGCAGTCGCGTGCAGCCCCCCAGACAGTCAAGACTCGGGGTGGCGTCGTCACCACGCCCGGCGACCCGCGCTCCAACTCGGCCGAGCTTGCGGCTCTGGGCCACGGTCAGCGGTGGTGGTGGTAGCGGTGGTGGCGGCGGTGGTTGTGGCGGTGGTGGTGGTGGCGGTGAGTGGCGCCGTGGCACCGCACCCGTCCCGCGGCCCTGCGTGCGAGCGGCATCCAAACCGCTCCGTCAATCCCGCGGCGCTCACAAGCCAAACAAAGACAAAGGTTCCCTCCCGTGTAGCCTTAACAGACTGTTGAGGCAAGAGCACCATATGAAGGCCGGCACGGCACACGAGGGGGTGGGTGGCCAGCACCGCGCCCGGCCGCCTTTGTCTCTAAATGTGGAGGTGAAAAAAACCAGGAGGACCCGGAGAAAAATACACGCGACCACGGGGAGAGAGACACGCAGACTCCAAATATACAGCAGCAGGCGTTAGGATCGGTATCGAACCCACGACCTCCTGCATACCGGGCGAGGTAGTTAACATCTCACTATTTTGGCGCCCACTGTCTTACGTGTAAACATGTGATCATACATGTGATCATACATGTGATCATGGTCCTTTGTCAATCCACCGTAGGATGAAGGCCACCCCACGCCATTATAGGCCGTGGGAGTTGCTTGGGCATACTTCACCAAGTTGGTAAGTGTAGCCTGGTGACGGGGCGAGGGAAGTTGGGTGGGTGGGGGGAGTAATTCAGGACCGGGTTTGATAAATCTCATCCCACGAACTGAACCTCCGGTCACTTGATGCGAAACGCAGTGTGCGATAACCTTCTGCACAACACACATACACACATATCTGGGTCTGAGAACAAATTCGTCTCGACGGCCGAAATACTCCCTCCCTGGGCTAAACGGGCAAGACTCTCCCACTGCGAGAAGCAGAGCGCTTTGTAAAGCCGACGGCTTTGCCAATAAAGTGGACACACCTCAATGAACAAGCATGCGCGTACCCCCCGCCGCCGCCCCCGCCCCCCCCCCTAAGCATTTAATTAAAAACATTGCCCAGGTGGTCATGCACATCACACGAATCGGTTCTGTGGCAGAATAGCAATTGGGCGCAGAAGGGAAAACGGCTCAAGCAAGGTGGAGAGGGGGGGGGGCAAATGATCCACGAGCAGGTAAACAACAGGTAAACAAACAGGTAAACAACAGGTAAACAACAGGTAAACAACAGCGACATCCCCCCCCCCCTCTCTCGCACAATTGGTTTCAACCAGAGTCTCGATCCACAGTCGGACAAAGCCATCGTTTTGTTGGGGGGGGGGGGGGAATAAACAAAATTGTGATAAAAACTTTGACAGACACCCACCCGCGACGCAAGCTCACAAATGTAGCGACTCGATTTCACCGTTCCGACTTTAGACTTTGGGGTACCCCCCCACCCCAACCACTGTCTCTGCGCGTTCATTTTCCTTCTTATTAACTTTATTCCTTCTTATTCACTTTAAGATGTTTTCTTGTTCATGTTTTTGTTTTTTGTTTGTTGCGGTTGCACCCCATTCAAGAGCCGAATGGCTCACAGGGCTATACCTATTCTTAGGTTTTTTCGGTAAAGTCACGTAGGTAAAAAATAATAATAAAAGTAAAATAAAAATCACGACGTTTCGGAGGCAACACAAGCGTCCGTCTTCAGGTGGAACCGTCACAGCACGCTTGCTGTATAAAGTAAATAAGGGCTATACCTAATAAATAAACTTGAACTTTCTCTTGGCTTGCAAAATTCATCACGATGTGTTTTAAACATCGATAATTGTTCCTTTCAAGCAGCGTGCTACTTTTGTTTTACGAATCCGTTACTGCTGCGAGGGCACAGCGGGGCCTGCGTTTTCGGTCAGTGCAATAGCGAGCGCCGTTCACCATCGGAAAACCACATTGTGCTTCTAGATTTGAAGCTTTCGTGACTGCAAGGATTCATATTCTTAGGTTTTTCGGTAAATGCACGTAGGTAAAACATTAAAATTAATAAAAACAAAATAAAAATCAACATTGTGCTTTTTTTTAAAATCGCGAAACCGCATTTCTGCAGCGGCGCACGAGCACAAATAATAATGATGAAACCCCGTCAACAGTGCGGCTGTAAAGAGGGAAAACTTCATATTTAACAGGCGAGTTTTTTGGGGGAAATGGGCCCTTCCATCGCTCCGCTACGAAGAAGGGGGGGGGGGGGGCACGACGAACCAGCAACGTGCAGTTTCCTTTGTCGTTACAAAAGCAAACGTGAGGTGTGGGGGGGTATAAAGTGGGGGGAGGGGGGGTGACGTTCATTAAGAAAAAAAACTCCAGAAATAACAGGATAGGATCACAATTGAAAATTTATAAACGGCATCACTCTCGTCGCTCGCGAACACTGGCGTCGTGCGTAAGACAACAACACCCTGCGGTCGGGGGAAAAAAAACAACACAACAACAACAATAACAACAACACCGGGCGTGCAGGCGGTGCAACTGCACCGGGGCAGTCGCCATGGCTACGACGAGAACTGGGTGGGGGGAGGGGCAGATTTAGACATGAGGCCCCCTCCCCCTCTCCCCACATTACATTCCTTACAAAAGGGGGGCACACCAATGCCAACCCTTGCTTAAACCCGCTGAGTTTCACTCATCCGGCGCAATGCAATCAAAGAGTCGGGGGGCTCAATCTCGGCGCCCCGATTGACCGGGGCGCGCCTCGAGGAGTTTTTGTGCCCTCCGGGTGTCTCGCTACAGGCGACAACCCACACACACACAGAGAGAGAGGATCGCAGGCCGTGACGCAGACTCGCTTGGCAGCACCACGCCGCTGCACGTGGGTGGGTTCGAAGCGTGGGGAGCACGGACGTTTGGAGCGACGAGGCACGTGTAGACGCGCGTCCCACGTGATGCGGTCAAGTGGGCTCGTGTGCTTTGTTCATCACACCGATGCGTATTTAAATTTTTAAACTTTTTTTTCCCGGAGGCAAACGTCCACAAGATGACAGTCACGTTAATATATTATCTTGTGTATTTGTCGTTGTCCGGTACGTTCGGAAACGTATTAAACGTAATCACTCAATACACCTGTGCGTTTGCATATACACGTACACACACAAAACGCATACGCCGCACAATACAAAAATAAAACACGCGAACCGTTACAGAAGAGAACATACGCAAGTGACGCTTTTCACCGACTGGTTGTGTAAAATTGAAATGTTAACCAATGATCACACCCAGTAAATACGTTCATTTTTGTATAATATATTACAGTATATATATGCTGTACTTCATTTGCCCTTGTAAATTTAAAACGAGTGCAAGGATTCAATCATTTGAGCTGGACCCATCCCACGATTGTGAACGATAACCGCCGATTGATCAACTGGCCAAGCCAAGGCGCCCCCTCTGCCCGATGGATCTGCCGCTTGAACGTCTCATCGGCGGCGAGGGGGGAGAGGTCGTCACTCGACCCCTGCGGGAGCGAGGAGGATTCGGTGGCAGCATGAGCAAGGCAAGTCAGAATTCCGCCGTTTGCTCCGGCGAGCATCGTCGTCACAGCGATGCTGCCCTCTTCTTGGTTCTTTCGGTAAAGTCACGTAGAATGGAAATAATAAAATGATAAAACATAATAAAATAATTCTCACGACGTTTCGGCCACAACGCAAGCAGCCGTCCTCAGGTGGAGAGCAGGTCTGTCGAGTAGACAGAGTAGACAGAGTCATTCAGACGCTGTCTACTCGACAGACCTGCTCTCCACCTGAGGCCCGGCTGCTTGCGTTGTGGCCGAAACGTCGTGATAATTATTTTATTATGTTTTATTTTTATTATTTTATTATTTCCATTCTACGTGACTTTACCGAAAGAACCAACAAGATGAATCCCTGCAGTCACGAAAGCTTTAAAGCGATGCTCTCCTTTTCTCCTCCAACCTCCTCAGCCTCCTCCGTTGGTGTGGAACCAGTGGGGAGGGGTCCAAAGGAGCACGGGACCTCGCGAAGCGCAGCAGCATTTTCAGCCGGTACCTGCTGTGCACACCATGGTGGAATGATCGATGACCATGAACGGACGGACGGACGGATGTTTGACCGGTGATGGCTTTCGATGGTGATGATTGATGGGATGATGACAGCTGTCAATGGACGACACCGAGTAGAGAGGAAGAGACCTAACAGAGAATGGCGACGACGACGACGACGTGACGAGATTGGTGCCAGAAAGATGTGGCCACGACTTGAGCAGCGTGGCACGAGACCGAGAGGAAAGTGGAAACGAATGGCGACATGTACAGTGGACACCGACGGGCCATCTGCCCATGGATCGTGATGACAATAAGAACGATCGATTGATGGTGATTATGGATAATAATTGATCATTATGGATCATGATAATGATTAACGGATGATGAGAATAAGGATGATTTATTGATGCTCATAGACGACCGATTCGTGAATGACGTGTATGCGTCACGGTCATGAGGATGGTGCGGATGATGATGATGAACCCAGGGTGCAGTTGACCCATAAACAAGACCTTGAAGTTGGGAGCTGGACGCAAGTCAGCCCTGTCTCTTTACCAACTTGCACAACTTTGGCCACGGATAAATATGAAGACCTAAATAGTAAAAAAAAAATACACGCGCACGGGAAACAACACTGCTTGTAATCAGCTCTCTTACTTCAGCGACTGCTGTAAGCAAGCAACGCCGAAAGTTTAAACCCGTTGCATTGCGTGCGCGATTTATTTTGGCTCTTCCGAGGTCACCCGAGGCGAGGTCAGGGTGTTTGGGGTCAGCAAAAATATCCACAACCCCCCCCCCCCGCACTCAACGCCTTGAATATATATATTATTTTTCTTATTCTATCTACGTGACTTTACCGAAAGTCCCAAAGAGTATATAGAACACTGTTCAAAGTTTCGTCCCATTACAATCCAGACAGACGAACACACCGCCCCCCCTCAAGTGCAGCGGTGAGGTTGGCTCTCCCCCTGTGTTGGCAAACACGCGCTTTGTCGCGACATTTCTTACACGAGTATGGCAATGTCTTTCGCCCACGCCCGCATAAGCACCGATGTCGTACGGCGCACGTACAACCTGCCATTCGTGCGTTGTTTGACGATGATCAGGCCCCAGTCCCGGATCGGTTTTTTTTACCACTGGTGGAAATTGTTGTTGCAGCCAAAACAATTTTAGTGGGGAGGCTCAGCCAATCACGAGCGAGAGGAGGAGCAAAAGCACAATTGCACCGCGGGTGATGTGACGTCACGAGGCAAGGCCCCCACCCCCAGCCCAATGGAACAGAGCCGGCCAATCGGGCTCCGAGCCGTCTGACACCACGTGCGCTCAGCGATCTGTCGGTCTTGCCCGCTGCAGACCCATAACAGCCACACACACACAGTTGGGCGCAGAGCGCTGGATACATCCACAGGGTGGTTCAAACATGTTTTAACACTTATATGGGACTATCGTTTTTAAGCGGGGGGGGGGGGGGGGAAAGGAAAATACAGTACTACACTGCAACTTCATAACGAATGTGATGTTAATAGCTTCAAAGTTCAGAGATTGTCCACTTGTTTCGCCTTCATTGTCAACGCATTGCCTGGAATCTTCTCCAGGTGGTCTCCAGAGCACGGAGGCAGCAACTTTCTTGAGGTGTTGTTGCAAATCCTCAGAAAGTGGAAAACATTTTTTGAAGCACCCTGTACATGGGTGGAATAACTACCATCCCCCCCACCCCCCTCGCGATTGTCAAAGATTCCCGATCGCGATTCGATTTAAAATATTCAAGAACAGCTTTTTTAACACTGGTGTAATGGTTGCAAGCCTTTTCTTGCAAGCTGCAGTTGTCACGTGAACTCATGGACGCACAGGATGAAACGCAGCAACTCGCAAAAGGAATTCTTTACACGGGTGATTCTATGCGCGTATCGTGAACTTATGAATCGGTATTGATTGACGAATCGGTGTTACTCTCTTTCTCTACTTGCAACCAATGGAGGGGCTTGGAGACCCCACAATATCCTGTCTCTCACACGTGTGAACCCAAAGCCTACAGTTTCTGTACTTGACATTATTGAGGTCAACGACAAGAGGTTAAATCAATTTACAGGTCAACATACCACACCATGCCATGGCTTCCTTCTGATCGATCGTACAACAATTGTTACACCGATCTCCCTTGCACATAAAGACCCCTCATATAGCTTTACGGGCAGTGCCGGCAAGTGCTCGTAGGCAACACTTAGGGAGGCATCTCAGCTGGCCGCCTCTGTCTCTCCGGTGCCCATGTATACACACACGGCACCCAGTTACTCATTTAGGGCTAATTCGACCTAGTGGAGGCACGGGACAGGTTCAGATACCACTTGCCACTTGTGCGCATGATATCCAAGCTAGATCGCCAGTATTGTAGAGTGCGAACCTGACGTCACGCGCACACATACACACACACGCGCGCACAAACTACATCATATGTACGTTCAACATATCGCGATCGTCATTAAAATTACCATAATCACTGTTATTAAAATAACTGTGCCCTATCATAATCATCAATATGATTACCTTCACCATTATTAAAATCATCATGATGATCACCATAATATTAGCATCATTACCATGAGCATCGCAAAAATGATCATCATCATCATCGCTATCAGCATCATCGGCACTCTGTTCGCACGAGAGATGGAGGCCCCCCACACCGGCCACCCACAGGCGCAGCGGCGCCCCGGGAACTTTGGGAATATTTTCTATTTTCGCGGCACACCAGTTTCCGAACGCGCGCCGGACGGTGTCAGGGGCCCCTCGCGCGGGGAAAACCGGCGAGCGAATCCGCCAAGTGTCACAGGCCGCGATGCCAAGGCCCGAGTCGTGATGGACAAAAAAAATAAAATCGCAGAAAGTTCTCCGTCACAATCCTGTGGGGGGCTCCTACAGCAGAACGCGCTTTCCATTTTCTTTTCTTCTCTCGAGAAAACGATCCTCTTTGCGGAATCGGTCGATCGTGGAATCGAGATGACGACTTTCTTCGCAAGCGGGAAAAGTAAAAAATAGAAGAACGGTGCACCATGAAATCGGGCCCGTGTCCGAATCTTGTTCATCTTGAGACGGTGTGCTTTTTGCACAGAAGTGTGCACAGGTGTGAACGTACAGGAGACCACGTGTATTTTTTTGACGTCCCAAATCGGGAAAACTTTCTCCCATTCCCATCGAAGCCACGGAGAGCCCAAAACAAAAACACAAACATTCGCGCACGACAGCCGAAAATAATCAACCGTGGCCATGGTGGCGGTCCAAGGCTCGGCAGGGCAACTCTGATCGCGCAACCGGCACTCCCGCCGCTCGGCGACCCGGCAAGGAGATGACTTTCTGATAATTTTGTTTCACGCCAATTTCAACGGTCGACGATGAGGTGGTGGCGGCGGCCGTCACTTGAGTCGACGCGGGATTTTTTTTTCGTAATGGATTATAATCGGTGCCGTGTCGCCTTCGTTAAAAATTGCGCGTGCCCCGAACGGACGAAACGTTAGCGGCGGGCGCCGCTGCCTGTGGATTTAAGTCCGCTTAAGAGCGAGTAAAAACGAGGGACGAGCAAAAAGACACGATTTAAAACAAACACTGTGTGAATGAGAGGTGGGTGGGTGGGTGTTTACTTCGCTCTACCGAAGTAAACATTAGCTAAATAGAAAAAAAGGGGCTTTAAAAAAACATTTAAGAGCTTTCATGAAAGTCAACACACAGAGCGTGTGTTAAAACAAGAGCGCGACGCTGGGATTCATCGCTCTGTACAGGAGGAAAAAAGCAGAGAGTGTTGCCGATGACCAGGGTTCTCATTGACCGAACATTCGTCCAAATGCAGCTTCTCTGCATCTATCTGTTCGACGTACGCGAAGTCGTTCACCTGGTTCGACAAAGATTCGTGCAGCATGAAATGTATCCGCAATAATCAAGCGGACCGGGGATGAAAGGTTCTGAATGCAGGGGGTGCCCCCCTTGTGTGGCCTTTACAATCCCGTCGACAGACGGCGGCGAAGTCGGGGATGACAAAAGAAGGAAGCAGCTGTGGAGGCGGTGCCGTGGTGGTGGTGCCCTGATGGGCGATGTCGTGGTGGCAGGACTGTGTTGGTGGTGGTAGTGATGGGCAGGACTGGTTGTGGGCAGGGCAGCACCGGGGGCGGTGCTGCTGCCTCATATCGCGAGGAGCTCGATGCTCGGCGGAGGCTTGGTGGTGGCGGCCGTACCGTTGCGTTTCTCGAATTCTTGCGAGATTTCCAGGAAGGACTTGTTGCGCGTCTCCGGGAGGATGAAGTAAATGTAGATGGCGCAGCACACGCAGTCCACCAGGAACACGAGGAAGCAGAAGGAGCCCAGCTCTTTCTGTCGACGGGGACGAGCGGCACAAACAACACCAGCACAGGCACTCGTGGATACGCGGGCCCCCTTTCTTGCGAATCCGCTGCTAGATGAGGGCATCCCCAGGCCATTGCGGGTTGTTCGAATATACTTCCCCACACTGGCCAGTGTGGGGTGTGGGGTGGGGGGAGGACCCAGGACCAGGCCAGATGTCACTGACCACCGTGGCCAGGAATAAAACACAGAGGCCGCCGAGTTTACAGGGTAAACACACCGGTGGTGCTGAACTTCTAACTCATTGGCACGTTCGGTTCACGTGAGAAACCTTACCAATTGGCTGCGTCGGGAGGTGGCGGGTCAACGACACATTTATATTTACGCGATTTAACAAACAAAAAAAAACGCTTTATTATGGATAAAATTTGTCACGACAGCCTACTCCGTGTTAAACCAAGTCACAACACCTCCAAGCACACACAGCGTGTACACCACGTGCATCATACAGAAGGGGGCAGCAGTGTGCCGCCGCAGATAGACGAGCGTTGCGCATAGGGCCCCTCTGCAGTGCGAGAGGGCTGCGAGGTGGCCCGGCAGTAGGGCGTTTGCCACTCGCTGCAAAGGATCACGGTTCGAATCCAGCGGCCGCCCTGGTTATTACTGCCGGTGTAATAATGGTAATAATCCTACGCCATCTGCTTTACGGTGGACGTTGAAGAATTCCCCATTTGTGCGTGTTGGCGCCAGGGCCCGAAAATGTGGCAAATTCGAAACGTTCCATCAGAAGTTACTCACTTGGGATTGTACGTAGTTGTCATTGCCCTCGACTGGCAGATTGCTGCCCCAGGTCACTCTTGCAAATACGACAATCCTGGTCTCTTAAATTCTCATTTTTTATGGCAACCGCAAGCCAGTAAATTAATAATCCCACTAACGTTTTTTGTTGGTTTCATTTGGAATCACCCCTGTAAATGGCCGTGATTATTATTACAGGTTTGGTATTTCGAAGCACGAGCAAGGTCCACCCCTGCACCTGACGATGGTTCTCCCCAACCTGCGAGCGACCCTCAATGGCCAAAACTGCCTGCCACCCTGCCAACTTTGCAGGGGAACGCCACCCATGCCAAACCCGCGAGGGATGGGGGCTCGCACCACCATGAAGGGGAACACCATGCCGATGGAGAAGAGGAAGATCCAGTTGCAGGAGCCGTTGATCATGTAGGCGGCAGGGCGCGCTTCCTGCGTGAACAACTCCGCCGCCATCATTCCCGTCACGCCACCTGCGTTACGATCGCACGATGCACGCACGCACAAAGACAAAGATCCCCCGTGTAGCTTTAACAAGCTGTTCGGGGCAAGTGCTGTTAGCGAGCACCTATCAAGGCCGGCACGGCACACGAGGGGGTGGGTGGCCAGCACCTCGCCCGGTCGCCTTTATCAGAATCAGAAGGGGTTTTATTCGCCATGAGAGTTCGCACAGACAAGGAATTTACTTTGGCCGGAAGGTGCATACATTCAACATTTAGGAATCTTAAATCTTAAATCAGTGGTGTACAAGTCTAACTATACTAAAGGTACAAGTCTAACTAATACTAAGGAGCTAAAGTATGTAAAAATTGAATAAAATAAAATCTAAAATATACAATAGCTATAATATACAATATAAAATTACAAAAATGCAAATAGGGTAACATAGTGCAAATATAGCAGGGTGTCATTGTGCAGATATTGTGTTAAAGTCAGTTTGAGCGTTAAAGTCAGTGTGAGCCCCTGGCCTTGTTTATCTCCCCAGTGGCGATGTTTACACACCGCACCGGGTACTCATTTGAGGCCGAGTAGAACTAAGGAAGGTCCAGGACCGGTTCAGACAATCGTCACCGGTGTTGGCCATGAGCGGGAATGAAATTCGGGTCACCAGGTTTGTAGCGCAGCGCGCTAACCGCTACACTACCGCTCCCCACTAACACACACACACACAGGAGCAGACGCAGCGAACAGCAGCAATAATTTTTACGAGAAACACATGTGAGTGAACGAATGCAATGCACAATGAAAAATAGCAAATCCAACTCCGTCTGCTACTTATTTCTACTTTATTTTTTATTTTACCGGCTAAGGCCCACTGAGCTACTGTATATGTTTCTACACACACCTCTTTTTCAGAAGTGACCTGGCCACAAATGATCGCTCAATGACGTGGCTGATCATGTGGATGTGTAAGTTAGCCAATCGCCCGGATGGCCTCATCCAGCTCAACGGCTATTTTTTATACGACGGGCGACCCCACGGCCACTTGTGACCAATAAATAAACTCTTGAATTACACGAGATATTGGTTAATGTGCACCCTGGTAAACCCCCCCCCCCCGAATGCGCTCACTTTTTGTCAGATCAGCGGATTAGTTGAGCAGGGTTGTGAAAAAAAAGCAGAAGTACTTAATAGTTGTTATGAGGCTGCAGACCTCTGGTGGGCAGCAGTGGGCAGTGCAACAACATCAATTGCTGTACTCTACTTCTATGCCCCTATGCCTACGCTTCCTGCCTTCACTGGATGAAGAGTCATGCGGGAGTATAAACCATGGGAAACCGTAAAGACGATGGGGGGACACGGGACTAAACGAAGACACGGAGAGAAGAGGATTTATACTCTTAGTTCTTTCGGTAAAGTCACGTAGGTAAAAAATGAAATTAAAATTAATAAAAAATAAAAACAATAAAATCACGACGTTTCGGAGGCAACACAAGCTTCCGTCTTCAGGTGAAACTGTCACAGCACGATAGCTGTATCAAGTGGAGAGAAGTCCCAAGAGGTACGACCTTATATACTGGCTAAGGGGGGAGAAGCCAAGAAGGGCCGCGGGAGAGGAAGAGTTGTGAGATGGTCAGTGCTGCTGCTGGAACTGAGCCTTTGTAATGTAGATGGCATATGTAGATAAGCCAGCTAGGATTAAGCCGCCTTTTGTTATGCTGCTGGGTGGGTAAATTAATTCAAAAAAAGAAGAGGATTTCACTGTGGATTGGAGAGTTTGTACGACTCTCCGTGTCACTATCGATGCTTCAACATTACAGAGATTTCCATTGCCTTGAAGTGCTCGCCCAGAATGAAGGGCGAGGGGCGGAATTGGGAGGCGGACGCCGGGAATCTCACGCTGGTGCGAGGATCGCGAGGATCGCGAGGATCGCTAGGATCGCTAGGATCGCTAGGATCGCGAGGATCGCGAGGATCTCGAGGATCTCGAGGATCGCTAGGATCGCGAGGATCGCTAGGATCCCGAGCTCACCTGGGCCGATGCCAAAGCTGAGGATGTAGCCGAACACGCATGTGGCGCTGAGGTACGGCATCCACTCCACGGAGTCCTGGGTACAAACAAAGACAAAGATCCCACCCATATAGCTTTAACAGGCTGTTGGGGCAAGTGCTGTTAGCGGGCACCTATGAAGGCCGGCACGGCACACGAGGGGGTGGGTGGCCAGCACCACTGCTCATTTGAGGCTGAGTTGACACACACGCACAGATACACGCACACGCACGCATGCACACGCGACACAGGATGTGTCGGATCCGTACCCAGTTTTGCAGAAGTAACCAACGCGGCTTTTTTTTCTCTCCAAAATTTATTTTCGTCTTTCTCCAATTGTATCCCAATGGTGATATCGTCGTCATGTAAACTAAACAAACGCTCAACTATTTTTTTTTATTTGACCAGGTAAGGCCCACTGAGCTTTAGACCTCTTTCTCAGAAGCGACCTGGCCACAGATGATAGCTCAACCAAGTGGCTTATCACGTGGACATTTATAGCAGCCAAATACTCGAAACGGACGTCGATTCTAAATGTCACGGCCCTCTCAACCAGACGCTTGGTTAAGAATTGTTGGCATAAAACTACCATGTGTCCTTGGCCAAAACAAAACACGCATCGTCGTTTTGGCTACGAAAACCTACGTTCTAAGTGGTATTTTACAGACCGTGCGAAATCGAAGGTGCACCTCCGACTGATGGCATGGGCGAGGAACAGAGGGCCTTGGTCAACGACGGGGGGCCTTTTAGGTGCGGCGGCCTATTATTAATCCTATAGGTAACTAAAGTGTTATTCATGTTAAACTTCGATTTGCGACGTACAATTCGTACATCGAACTTCAAATAGCCAGGCCCATCGGGCACGGGCGGTGGCGATGATGTCTCCCCCGGGGGGCTCCCGTCGTAACGCAGTTCGGCCGGCCGTGAACGTGAAGGTGGACTTGGGTTCTCACCTGGAGGTGCAGCGACACGGTCATCACGACGCACACCACCGACATCATCACGTAGCCGCCGATGAGCAGCGGTCGCCTTCCGGCGCGCTCGATGAAGTACCCCTGGGGACACACACGCGTGCCCGCAGTGGAAGCCGGCTTCCATCATCGACCGCAATCGCCGACGCTCAGAAATGTTTGTCAGTCACTGGGACAGTTCTCGTGGCGTGCACCATCTCACAGAACATTCCGGGTTTCTCCCGCAAACAGGGTGCCCCCGCAGGAGACAGGAGCCGCACGTTTCTATGTTAGATCCCTCCTTCACAACTGCACAAAAAATAACAACGCTCTCGAATGTGCTGCTTCGTTTGTACCGTGTGTTGTTGGGGAATAGATGCCTGCCATTTCAGAATAGGAATATATATTTATACTGGAGGAATCCAATGACAAGACAATTCTGCTTCAGGTGACAGTTCCGATTTCCCGAAGCAGCACGCAGAGCAAAACGTCGGACATCACATCCGTTGCTTTTTCTTTCGGACAGGCTCAACGACAAAAAAAACACAAACAGGCTGAACCGCCACTTCACCACTCCCAACGACCACGATCGTCATCGCGCTGCACGGGGGGAGCGGGGGGCGGCCGTGCAACCCAAACTTACGCTGACGAACACGGTGAACATCTCGCACACGCCCGTGCCGATGGTGACGTAGGTGATCTTGTCGTGGGCAACGCCTGACGCTTCGAAAATGTACGTGGAGTAGGAGTAGATCTGCGCGCCCAACACACACCGAGAGCAGCAACGAAACACCGGGCGCACAGAGAAAACAAAAACGTTAAAAACTAAAAACTTTTTTTTACGACCAGTTAATGCCCACTAGGCTACATAGGTCGCTTTACAGAGGCGACCTGGCCACAAATGATACTTTTAACCGAGTGACTTGTCACGTGAAATGCTCTAAACGCACGTTTCTAAACGCGGAGGGAAATGCAGAGAGGACCCGGAGAAAAATCCCCGTGACCACGGGCAGAGAGACGTGCACACTCAAAATATACAGGCGTCAGGAGTCGGGATTGAACCCACGACCTCCTCGCACACCTGGTGAGGTCGTTAACATCTCGCTATCAGTGGCGCCCCATATCGAGGCACGGGGGGGGGGGGGGGGGGCGTTCCTTTTGGCGATCGGCACTTGCCCCGGCACGCAGGTTCACGCGTAGGTACAAAACCTCCACGGGCGGGCGAAACCCGGGTGTAGGTGCAAGTGAGGACACGCGTGCTGCGCGAGAGACGGAACCGAAATAAACGACGCTGTGCAGAAAAGCAAGGGGGGGGGGGGGAAGTGGACGGCGGGCCACGGTACAAGTTTTATCGCGTTGTGGGGGGAGCGGGAATCCGGCTGCGTGGATGTTTATTCGCGAATCAAAAGTAAATTTCGCAATGACCCAGCTGGGGAATATCTCGCGGGGTCACGGCAGCCGGGCTTGTGTCAAGTGGAGCCCCCTCCCCCCTTCCGCTTGTAGGATGTTGTGCGTGGGCTTGTGTCAAATGGAGCCCCCCCTTCCGCTTGCAGGATGTTGTACGTGGCAATCGAGAGCGTTTTCAACAACAGTCAGAAATGTGTACAAACACGGACGATTGTGTAAAAATATAAAAAAACCCCGTCGTGTTCAATTTCGGATTGGCCAACTTCCAGCGCTGGGAATGATGAATCTAAGTTTTGACAGTCAAGAGGCGAACTTTACCCTCTGCAGTAGAATGGGTTGGGAAATTGCAGTTTCCTCTAGCGGCAGATAAGCGGTCAATTGAAAAGATACCAGAAGCAGTTGTGCGAGGTCTCCGTCTGCGGACCATTTCTTTAATGCAGTGGGCGATGCGATCCGGCACATTTGGTCATTGGCAGGGGGACTTCATGGCGTGTTCATCGCACTGATTCAAACTGCTTCACGTGCTCGCTCAGTAGGGCTGAACGATTTGGGGAAAATATCTAATTGCGATTTTTCTGACAGATATTGCGATTTGATTTGCGATTACATTTTTTAAAATCAAGCTTCAGTTCAATATTCACTGTGTAATAGATTTAAAGCATGTGATGGAGCATTACCACATGATACCATAAAAATATGAACTGCTCTATATATTGTAATGCAAGGATGAGAACTTAAAATATATGAATTGCTTCCAACGTGTATTTATAAAAATGTTTTAACTGAAATAGAACAATCAAACATAGAACAATTGCTAAGTTAAATAAATAAAGTTATCATAATAAAAAAAACTATTCCAATAAGAAAGTAATAGGACTTTTCAAACCGCAAAAAATCACAGCCTTTGCGATTTGCTAATCGCGCTGTTTCAAATTGCGATTTCGATTTGAAATCGATTAATCATTCAGCCCTAACGCTCGGCTAAAATTAAATTAACCCGCGTACGAAGAGGCGGTGCAGTGGTCGACCACATTGGACATCCACTTCGAACTCCCGCAAGTTTCTTAAATCGCCCCCCCCGCCAACGGCCTCTGTCCACCCATCAGTGTAAATGGGTGCACCCACAGTTCGTCGACTGGTAGGTTGTGTGCGTTAACATCCAGCCAGCGTGGACGAGTCGGACAAAATACCCTCCCCCCCTCCTCCTCTTGGAAGGGACCCCCCCCCGGAGCTTCCGCTTTGTAGTCGTGGCCCTTTTCACCAGCAGTGGAGTGAGCGAGCAACGGCAGGGCTGCACCTTTACCATTGCCTTTAATAAGTCATGCACTCTTCTTGGTTCTTTCGGTAAAGTCACGTAGAAGGGAAATAATAAAATAATAAAAATAAAACATCAAATAATTCTCACGACGTTTCGGCCACAATGCAAGCAGCCGTCCTCAGGTGAAGAAACAGGTCTGTCGGGAAGACAGCGCCCCAGGCTTGAAGCGTCTATTTAAGCTGGGTACCCAGCTTCACCTGAGGACGGCTGCTTGCGTTGTGGCCGAAATGTCGTGAGAATTATTTTATTATGTTTTATTTTTATTATTTTATTATTTCCCTTCTACGTGACGACTTTACCGAAAGAACCAAGAAGATGAATCCCTGCAGTCACGAAAGCTTTAAATCGAAAAAAAAGTCATGCAATCGTGCAACCGTGGGGGTGGGGGGGGGGTGGCAGGGGAGGTGCTCACCACGTCGAGTCCGCACAGCTGCTGCCCGGCACCCATGACCACGACGGTGATGAGCTGCCACCGTTGCGAGGGGTCACGCAGCAGGTCCAGCGGCATCTTCTTCTTCTGACCCTGCAGCTTCGCGTGCTCGGCCCTCATCTCCGCCATCTCGTCCGTGACGTCACCCGCCCCGCGCAGCCACTGCAGGGCTGTGGAATAAAAAATATATAGAAATATCCCCTGTGTAACCTTAACAGACTGTTTAGGGGCAAGCGCTGTTAGCGAGTAGTCTTCTCGACAGACCTGTTCTCCACCTGAGGACGGCTGCTTGCGTTGTGGCCGAAACGTCGTGAGAATTATTTTATTATGTTTTATTTTTATTATTTTATTATTTCCATTCTACGTGACTTTACCGAAAGAACCAAGAAGATGAGTAGTACTCGTGAAGGCCGGCACGAGACACGAGGGGGGCGGGTGTCCAGCACCAGGCCTCCCCGTCCGCCATTGTCTCACCAGCACTGATATTTTATACATTGCCATATTTTACTCAATTAAAATTGACTCGAGCCACAAGCGGGAAACCAACTCGGGGTGGCCGAGTTCGCGGTGCAGCGCAGCGGCGCTAACCACCTGCACTATGGCCCCATTGCTACTTCGCACACGGAAATGCCACCAACTGCCACGGAATTAATTGCACCACGATGAATCGACTGCCTCTTTGAAGGTAACGAAACAAAACCGCGTGGGGCTCGGTTCACGGAGTTGTCATCGCAATCGCCACCGATTGCTGCGCTTTGCTGCGTGGAGTCCGGTCGATGTTTTTTTTCCGTTCCTGTGGCCGCCTCAGAAAGAGCGGAGGATGTTCAGAGAGACTGTGATGTAATTCGCGAGAGGATGCCAAATGCTTCCACTATTTTTAATCTGGTGAAAAAACAATAATAAAAAACCAAAAACACACTTTTAATTAGTTTAACACGTAGGCTTTCGCGACCAATATCATCCATAAGAGGTTTTTTTGGGGGGTTAGATTGCGTAAATATCTAAATGTATTGTTACACCCGCCACCACCCGACACAGCCAACTCCCACCTGAAGACGGTTGCCTGTGTGGCGATCGAAACGTCGTGAACTATTATTATTTTTCTACCTACGTGACTTTACGAAAGAACCAAAGAGTATAGCAAGGGTTGTCACGTAAACAGAACATACCATGTTGTACTAGTGACGAATTGGCACGTTCTGTTTACGTGACAACCCTTACTAGTTGGCTGTGTCTGGTGGTGGCGGATTTAACGACACATTTATACATTTACGCGATCTAACTCCCAAACAAACCTCTGTTACACTTTTAATCGCCGAGGATTCGCACCGTCATGAACGTCACGGATGAAGTCACCACGACCTTCAGGATACGCAGCCCATCGTGCGCAACGGCATGAACAGTAACGACACGACATGGGCGGCTTGTGCCTGTGGTTCTCTCCTCCGTCCCTCGCGTTCGTTGTGGCCCCGAAAGGTGGCCCACCACCTGATTTCTCGGTCATTCACCTCGATGGTGAGTGGGGGTGAGTAGGGGTGGGGGGAATTCTGGGGCGGGTGCAATCACCGGCGGTGGGGGGCGCCAAGGTACAGCCGTGCGGGGCCTGCCAGCGACCGCGGCGCAGCGATCGTGCCGCCGCTGTGCTGCGCACGGCCAAGCACTCCAGACAGCTCCCTGGTGGCGAGCGTTGCGGTGTGGCACACTGCTCGTGCCAGGGCCCCTCGGCTGTGCCAGGTGCCGTTGCCAAATTCCTTAGGCGGTGATCGTGCACCCTCCACTACCCCCCCATCCCCATCAAGGTGAATAACCCGGTTTTGGGTTGTCACCTCCGAGGCACAAATCACTGAAACAGAGGGGATTTTTGTTTTATTATCACCATCATTACTGTTACGCAACTGACAAAAGACAGGCCTTTGAAAGGCTTGCAGATGGTCCCAGGAAAGCAAGCTCAAAGAGAGGCTGGTCCCGGGTAAAACCAGGACCAGGTGGCCAACCCTAGACCTGTACGTGATGCAGGTCTATCAACACACTATGGGCGGGGGGGGGGGGCGAGGTGCAAGGGGGTATACAATTGCACGGGGGTCCCAAAACCCAGGAGGGCCCCCCAAAAATACATTTACCTTGGGCAAGGGACGTAGGCCCCCCCCAAACCCCACCCCCACTTCAAAAGTCAAAATTACGCACCATGGGCTGCAAATTTGTTCCGATAGGCCCGATGACATTGACGTCACGGCAGTCTCTGCGCTCGTCCGCCGGTGGCGTGGCGAGCGGCCTCGCCAACGCGCGCGTGAAGCACGCGGTCGGATCCTGCCGACGGGCGCTCCCCGTTTTCTCATTTAAAAATCGATATTGTGTCCCGGTTCCATGGCAAGCGACGGCGTTGGCTCGTGCGCAACAAGGTGCCAGGCGGAGCATCGCGCTCGCCGCATCGTGGGAGGTGATGGCGACAGCGATCGGGAGGGCATTATCCAGCAGTGGATCGAGCAACGCCTGATGATGATGATGATGATCACCACCGTTCGTCGTCGTCGTCATCATCATCGTCATCATCATCCGCCACAAAACAGAATCGTTCCCGACTAAGCCACTGGTTTTAACCAGGGGACATCCTCTCTTTGAGGTTGCTTTCCTGGGATCGTCTGCAAGCCTTTCAAAGGCCTGGCTTTTATCAGCTGCCTCGCAGTAATGATGGTGATAAGCCACTTGCAGCGAAGCGTTGGACCTCACGCCGAGCAACGCGGGGGCACAACCCGAAAACGCATAAGAGAGCGATTAAAATCAATACATCGTTACATGCCGATATAACCTGTCACCGTGCGTGCTATGTTGTCCATTTGTACCACGTGTGCCCACGTGTACCCACGTGTGCCCATGTATTCCCACGTGTGCCGCAAGTGCTGTTCGCGTCGCGCGTGCCTTTTGCGCATGTGTAGTGACATAGAACGGTCACTACTGTGTCGGCCCGTACGAGGGCTGGGGGCCCCAAGGGGGTGCCTGGGGGGTCACGTGGTGGAGGGACCCAGACCTTTCCAGAGGTGGGGGAAGGGAGGCGTGGCCTGGGAAGGGAGGCGTGGCCTGGGCAGAGCCGGCCACGCCTGGGCGGATATAAGCGTGGTGTGAACGCAGAGCGAGGCTGTTGAACTCCGAAGTGAAGACGATATCATCGGTCCTCCAAGTCGTCGTCCTGGACCAGGCAGCCCGTCGCCTGCCTGGTCCACTCTGTGTCGTGTTCCAGAGTGTTAGTGAGTTGAGGAAGGTGGTCACCACCTCATGTACAGTGTTATATTACTTACCGTTTAATAAATACTGTTGCCTCCAAGCTGTGTGTGTGCGCACCTAATTCGAACCCACTACGCACAAGAGCGCGCCGTTTGCGCTCGGCTACCTTTGAGGCAGCGCTTGCGGTCGTCGCGGTCGATGAGCAGGAAGCGCGGGCTCTCGGGGAGCAGGGGCAGCACGGCGAGCTGCACCAGCGCCGGTACCACCGTCAGTGCCAGCAGGAAGGGCCACATCTCCTCCTCGCCCATCAGCTCCCTGCAACGGTGGGAGGGGGAAATACGGCAGTCCCCGGGGGCAGGGAGCAACGTCACGCAAAGACAAAGACCCCACCCCCCCCCCCCCCCCGAATAGCCTTAACAGACTTTTGGGGCAAGTGCTGTTAGCGAGCACTTACGAAGGCCGTAATGGGTACACAAGGGGGGGGTGGGGTGGCCAGCACCACGCCCCGGCCGCCTTCGTCTCCCCAGTGGCGATGTTTACGCACCGCACCAGGTTCCTCATTTGAGGCCGAGTCGACCGAGGGGAGGCCCAGGACCGGCTCAGATCATCGTCACTGTTGTCGGCGTCACGTACGCACGCACGATCGAACGCAGGGCGCCCCCGGGGTCTGCGTCCCGGCTCCAGCAGCTCGGCGAGGAGCGGCTGCCGAGTGGACTTCAATGTCAGCGCCCACGTGCTGTGGGCGAGGCTCCCCATCCCAACGTCTCTTTTCTACGGCTCGTCTGGTTCGTCATGTCAATACGCGGATCAGTAAAAGGATTGGAATAGGGAAGTTTAAGAATACTTTTGCAAGAACGTGGCCTGTCTCATGTAGCCCATGGGCCAGAGACGATACTGGTGCCACCTAAAGTAGCTCAACTTTATCAGTTGCGATATCTATTTATATAAAAGGGAAATTTGTGATAATGTGTGTCTGTTCGAAATATTTAGCGTACTTCCCGACATGCAACAAACTTGAAATTTGGCATGTGGGTAGCTTCCAGACTGTACACAATGCAAAAAGTATAAAAATAGACTTTTGTATTTTGGGGGGCGTTGGGGGGGGCGCAATAATGGATATATTTTGCACGCAAGTGAGCGGTGACGTCACATCTGTGATGTCACCCGCATGCGGCAGCGTTACGCATCCAAGACAAGAATCCAAGTCTCGGGCGAAGCTGGGTAGTCAAGCCAGTATATTTATACGGCTAACACAAGTTAATTATTTTATAACCCACTCAGTTAAAATGGTTATCACAAAATTAACTCTTGTGAGCCACATAAACAAATGGGAATCGCCACCACTATGCCACCTCAGGTGGTTCCGACAAAGTGAGATGTTAACTACCTCGCCTGGTGTGCAGGAGGTCGTGGGTTCAATCCCAACCCTGATGCCTTCTGTATATTTGGAGTTTGCGTGCTCTCCCCATGGTCGAGTGGAGTTTTCCTTCCACATTGAGAAATATGCGTTGAGATTTTTTTGTTGCTATAAATTTCCACACGATAAGCAATTTCGTTGAGCTACCCTTTGCGGCCAGGTCACTTCTGAAAAAGAGCTACATAGCTCAGTGGGCCTCATCCGGCAAAATAAAAAAGTAGTTTTAAGCAAGTCAGTAGTCGAGATCTGGCCAGTGTCTGACGGAGTCAATAGTGATCATCGGCAATCATCACCGTAGCCCCATGATCTGTCCGCTGACGATGCCGAAGGGCAGGAAGAGGATGCCGCCCATCGCCATGATTCCACGCAGGTGCTGGGGGGCCGACTCCCCCAGGAACATGGGCTGCAGGCTCAGGCCCACTCCTGTGAGTGAATTTGGGGCACGCACGCACACAATGCACGCACGCACGCGACAATCGGCATACGTGATTGGTCAGTTGGTTGGACGACACGGGCAAAAATGCGCGCGCTCGCAAACGTCAAAGATCGCTGGCGACGGCAAAAGGGATCGGGGATCAAGCGGCGATGAGCCCACATCGGTCGTCGTCATCCACATCGATTCTTGAGCTCGCGACACGCATAATCGACGTTTTGAAAATTTCGCATAGGTTGCACGTTAATGAGGTCACGTGAACCCGTACGCCCACTAAGAGGCCGCTACGTTTGGGCAAAAAAACAAGTTTGGGACACTTGCACCGACTCGCGACCGTGAATTTCTGAAAATTGAATGGAATAACAAGGCAGGGATGTATCGCTATACGCGCGTGTGTGTGTGTGTATATATAAATGTATGTCGTTATATCACACCAAACGAGCGATGATAAAATATACGAGTTGGTGAAATTGCTGCTCAGTGAAGTGTGCGGCGGGCGCCCGGACCGTGCTACGGTTGGACTCGTATTTCATTAAAGCCCAATCATGCAAGACACACTGTGAATTAACTTATAAATGCGCATACGTACGGAGCGGGGTGTGTACGGGCGAGCGCGTGACAAGATCAAAAAAACAAATGAGAACTTCCAGAGTATAGCCTCGGTTTGGGGAAAAATAAAAATTTAACGTGAAATGGAAAAATAATCTGAGCTCATGTTTATTACGGGGGGGTGGTGGGGGGGGGGTGGCACCACACATGACTTTCCACGAACATGCTTTGTAATAAACAAAGACCTTCTGGCATTTAAAAAAAAAAGAGAAAACCCGACCGCCACACGAACGTGGCCAACTGCCTTCCCCCCCCTCCACCGTGCGTTTTAACCACAAAGTCTGAAGGGGAAAATGGATGCGGGGGAGGCTCAATCCTAGATTTGAAGCTTTCGTGACTGCAAGGATTCATACTCGTAGTTTTTCGGTAAAGTCACGTAGGTAAAAAATGAAATTAAAATTAATAAAAATAAAATAATAAAAATCACGACGTTTCGGAGGCAACACGAGTCTCCGTCGTCAAGTAACTCGCTCACAAACGTCGACCTGATGACGGAGACTTGTGTTGCCTCCGAAACGTCGTGATTTTTATTACTTTATTTTTATTAATTTTTATTAAATTTTTTACCTACGTGACTTTACCGAAAAAACTAAGAGTATAGGCTCAAATTTCGATTTAAAGCTTTCGTGACTTTTGGTAAAGTCACGTAGAATGGAAATAATTAAATAATTAAATAAAACATAATAAAATAATTCTCATCATTCAGACGCTGTCTCCCCGACAGACCTGGTCTTCACCTGAGGACGGCTGCTTGCGTTGTGGCCGAAACGTCGTGAGAATTATTTTATAATGTTTTATTTTATTATTTTATTATTTCCATTCTACATGACTTTACCGAAAGAACCAAGAAGAAGTATAGGCTCAATCCTCCTTGCGCTGGCCACCAGCCACCTAAGCCTCTCGGTTTCAGGGGGGGGGGTGTGGGACGGACCCCGGGGGGCCCAGCTCACCGCAGTTGATGCCGATGAGGAGCCTGCCGATGATTATGAGCTCAAAGGAGGTCGCGGGACGGCTCACGCCCATCAGCACCGCGGCCAGCACCGCAAAGCCATTGTTGAACAGCAGGGCACCCTTCCTGCGAAGCGAGGGCGTGCACAGCGAGACGCGGTTTTCAATGACCGAGCTCGTCAGCCAGACGCCATCTCCACCCCACCCACCGCCACCGACCCCGACACGACGGTTCGCACGTGTGTGTATCTGTGTGTGTCTGTGTGTGTCTGTGTGTGTGTCTGTGTGTGTGTCTGTGTGTGTGTCTGTGTGTGTGTGGGGAGCGGTAGTGTAGCGGTTAGCGCGCTGCGCTATGAACCCGGCGACCCGAGTTCGATTCCCGCTCACGGCCAACACCGGTGACGATTATCTGAACCGGTCCCGGGCCTCCCCTAGGTCGACTCAGCCTCAAATGAGTACATGGTGCAATGTGTAAACATCGTCGCTAGGGAGACAAAGGCGGCCGGGCGTGGTGTTGGCCACCCACCCCCTCGTGTGCCGTGCCGGCCTTCATAGGTGCTCGCTAACAGCACTTGCCCCTACAGTCTGTTAAGGCTATACGGGGGATCTTTTGTGTGTGCGTGTCGACTCAAGCGAGTACCTGGTGCGGTGTGTAAACATCGCCACTAGGGAGACAAAGGCGGCCGGGCGTGGTGCTGGCTATCCACCTCCTCTCGTGTGCCATTCTGGCCTAACAGCACATACCCCAACAGTCTGTTAAGGCTATACGGGGATCTTTGTCTTTGTCTGTGTAGGGAGCGGTAGTGTAGCAGTTAGCGTCATGCGCTATGGAACCCGGTGACCCGAGTTCGATTGCCGGTCACGGCCAACACCGGTGACTATTATCTGAACCGGTATTGAGCTTTCCCGAGGTCGACTCAACCTCAAATGAGTACCCGGTGCGGTGTAAAAATTTGCCACTAGGAAGACAAAGACAGCTGGGGATTGTGCTGGCCACCCACCCCCTCGTGTGCCGTTCCGGCCTTCGTCGGTGCTACTCGCTAACAGCACTTGCCCCATAGATCTGTTAAGGCTATACCGGGGGATTCTTTGTCTTAGTGTGTGCAGGCAGTAAGGCATGGTGGGAAAAGTTTCCCATGGTGCTCTGCAAGCCTCGCTAGAGCGACAGGGTGATGTCGCCAGCATGTGCGGCTGAGTGCGCTGCTCAGGGGCCAGATGCGCTGCTTGTACCGCCGAGCCTGTAACATGAGGGTTGGTAAACGGCGCTAAAAGCCCAGAGTGTTTCCATGTGGAGTTCAACATTTCTTTTTCACATGCGGGGAGTCTACCGCTGGTTTCGATCAAAAACCGTTTAACTTGTCGTAATAATGTTTGCTTTCAAATCGTATTTTGGATGCACACGGCTGGGCTAACGCAACAAAAATGCTTCAGTGATGGATTGAAAACAAAAAAGGCGTATTCAACTGAGCATTTGTATCGCACAAAGCAGGCACGGAGAAATTATTTAAAGCAGGGCCTCCGAAATGAACGTACAACATTGTACAGCACTTTGTCTATACACTGCTGGTCCCGAGCATGCCTTGGTGGTCACCCCACTGGTCAGCAAGGCTTGGGGTAGTGGGGTAGTGGGGGGGTTTGGGGTGGTTGCAGGGCTGGTTCAGACATCACTCACCCCTGATGACACTACGGCTAGGAAATGAACACATGCCAATGGGTTCATAGCGCAGTGAACTAACCACTTGCGTGAACGCTCTACCCACCCCTCCGCATATACACATGAAACGAATGACATAAAAGGAAATAAGTTATACGTCGTTTGTTCCATTCATGAGTTAATCCTCCCCTAATCTCAAGTGAAGATATATTTTATTTATTTAATCCAATGTACTTAACTGAATTCCAATAGCAGGAGAATAGGCTTACGCTTGTAATTCCAAGCGGATTATTCAGCGGTGTGACAAAGTGGGTCTCTCAAAGATGCGAGTGAGAATTAAAAACCATTGCTGAAATCAATTAAGGGCAATCCGGGACAATAGCGAGAAAAAGAGACTGTTGGGGCATGTGCTGTTAGCGAGCAGCACCTATGAAGGCCGGGATACGCGCGCGCACACACGCGCACACACACCACTCGCTTGAATCGTGTGTTTCGACACCGACCTCCGGCTAACCCCTTCCATTTGGCCCGACTGGCGAGGGACCTCTGCGGACTGTGCATTCTCGTCCGCCGGCCAAGAAGTGGCGCGGATGCTCAGCCGCACCTCTGCCCCGCCACGCCGTGCCCCCCTTTTCCTGGCCAACGAACAATGAGCCCACTTGCTGGGGCGGATGCTTTAAAGGTCAGGCCTTGCACAAGAAGAAGAAGTCGCTTGCAGCTCTGCGCGGCTGGACGGCTCATCCGAGCCCCGGGTTACCACCCCCGTAGCGCGGCACGGGCAGCCCCTGCCACCCCTTAGACTCATGATCCTCCTTCTTCTTGGTTCTTTCGGTAAAGTCACGTAGAAGGGAAATAATAAAATAATAAAAATAAAACATTATAAAATAATTCTCACGACGTTTCGGCCACAACGCAAGCAGCCGTCCTCAGGTGTTGTAGACGAAACGTCGTGAGAATTATTTTATTATGTTTTTTATTATTATTTTATTATTTCCCTTCTACGTGAGTTTACTGAAAGAACCAAGAAGATGAATCCCTGCAGTCACGAAAGCTTTAAATCGAAAAATCATGATCCTCCGTTGGGCTACCGCGCCAAGAGGGAAGAAACGCCACCCGAGCTCGCCCTCGAACGTCCATCGCAGCCCCACGCACATCGGGCGGGCGGGAGGGGGGGCAACGCCGCCGGTGTCCTCCAATCAAATGAGACATGGAGGCTGCGTCACAAACCAATGAGAGCTGTGAGGGAGAGGGGGGGGGGGGCGGACGGACACAGAGTCTGCTACTCCCAGCTGTCGGCGGGGATCGGTGTCGGAAGAAGTCGCCGCCGAGGCGGAGAGCAACGGTTTCAAAAAAGGATGTCGGGCCCTCGCTTGCTCGCGACCCGGACGCTTTTGTCCGACCCTGCCACGCCTCCCGCTGGGGCCACACCACCGGATTGATGAACTCGGCGAGACGCAGACGGCCCCCACTGCCAGCTGCTGCCGTGCTGACCTTTGGGCAACGTTTTTAGCAGGGGGGGGGGGGGCGGGCCGATCATGCCACCGGAGCGTCGGGTTCGGGGCTCGACCGGGCGTCACGTGACACCTCGCACTGCACCGCGCGGTCCAAATCGCCGTGGCGAGTTTCACCGTGGTTGACGATGGTTGTGGAGCCGGTGCAGTGCAGGGCGGCGCGATTGCCGTGCGGGACGATGCAAGGGGGCGGATTAGTCGAATTGTGTGAGAGAGAGAGGGAGGGAGGGAGACGGAGGAACGCATGGATCGGAGAACATGCGCTGGTTTAAAACAACACAATGTTCCAACTCTTAAGGAAAGCAAGCTGACTGGCTTGGGCAGGACGCGTCGCTAGAAGGGACGGGACGACAGCACGACGGCCCAGACGTACAATGAAGTGGCCGCCAAGGGATGGAACGCGTCTCGCGAGTACCGTCCACTGCAGAGAGAGATGGAGTGACGAAATACGCTCGCGCGCAGGTGCTCAGGTGGAATGTTGAAGGTCAGGACTGTAAGAGAACGGGGCGACAAGAAGGCTCGGGGAGGGACGAGACCTTCGTCCAAGCAGCGGACTGATCATGGTCCGACGATGCCGAAGAGGGCGGCGGCCCGGGGCTCAAGCCCCTCGACGTCGGGTACGTCTGGGGCGCTTCCGCTGGTGGCGGGCAGCGAACCGAATCATGTGGCCTCACGCCGCGCGCTACAAATCACCGCCGTGCTGAATCGCACGACCCTTTGAACTTGGGGGGGGGGGGGGGGGATTACATTTTTTTAATTAAAGAATTAAACGGGCAGAGGGCAGCCCAGGATTTTCGCGAACAACGCAATTACCTTGCCGCTTTATTTATTAACTCGTTAATCCTTCCACGCACTTATTAACCACTTAATGAAATGTATTGCATTCTCTACTTAATTAAAAAAGGGTGGGGGGGGAGGGCGGAGCTGGGGGGGGAGAAAAAAAGACAGCAGTCGTGCAGTCTGCCGATTGGGAAATACGGAAAACAAGGCAGCAGGCTCTGTGCATCTGTCAGCTGCCTGCATTGGGCTACTCATGTGCAGAGCTGGGCTCTAACCCGATTGGTTAACCCTTTCCCATTCCGAGACATTTGCAAGTTCGAGGGTGGGTCATGTCCGCCGATTAATCTCGGAACGCGCGACCGGGTCAGCGTTAATTTTTATTTAGAGAGGTTTAGAAGCGCCTTTGCTTTTCAAGACTCACCGCAGAGATCCGTAGCGACACAATTGCCGATTGCCGGCGCCAAACTGTGGCAGTCTGACGTTTTGTTTGCGGATTTGGGCGAAATAATAGGTGCGGGTATTACGACTGAACGCACCTGCCCAGGCGGATGGCGAGGGGCCCCGCGAGCAGAGCGCCGAGGCACCCGCCGAGCGTGAACACGGAGACGACGGTCGACCAGAGCAACGTGAGCACGTGCTGGTCAAGGCCTGCGCCGTAGCGCTGCTCGCACGTCGTGTTGATGAAGCGCTGGATGTGCTGCTCCGGCGGCGGCGGCGGGCGCGAGCGGAGAGAAGAAAAAAACAAAATAAGAGTGACGTTACAAAACGTTAGGTCTTCTTGAGTCGGCGGAGCGGCACACATTCTTAGGTTTTTTCGGTAAAGTCACGTAGGTAAAAAATGTAAATTAATAAAAGTAAAATAAAAATAAAATAAAAATCACGACATTTCGGAGGCAACACAAGCTTCCGTCGTCGTGATTTTCATTTTTATTTTACTTTTATTAATTTTAATTTTTTACCTACGTGACTTTACCGAAAAAAACCTAAGAATATGAATCCTTGCAGTCACGAAAGCTTCAAATCTGGAGCGGCACACCTTTGACGACTGGCGTATCCCATAGCCGGGGCCAAAACCGAACCCGCGATACGATGCACGATGGCTTCGCAAGACGAGACAAGACACGTGTATCCTGGCTCGAAGCCAAGCAGGGCCGCGGTGGGGCCTCGTGACGTGCGCGCCGGTGCCTGCTGAGCCAGGCCAGGCTAGCTGGCTCGCTCGCGTGGCTCCGGCACAGCACGGTTGTGCAGTGGAAAGATGCATCGGAGGTGAAAACTCGCAAGCTGGCACCGTTGTTTGTAAAACCCGTTTAAGATTCATGATAATTGACAGCCATTTGTCTATCTACTGATGGATGGATGGAGGCCATTACCCCCAAGCTGTGCGGTTACGGTGGCCCTCAAGCGCCGCGAGTTGATGGTCACAGCCTGGCCATACCAATTAAAATCACAAAATAACCCAAAACATTTGATTTCGTCCTGCACTGTGTTTTTTACTAACGTCCAGCTCTTAAGAATTATTAATTTTGGTTTAACTGGTATGCGACGAACATTACTCCCTGTGGCTGGGCGGGTGGGGGAAGTGCTGCCTTCTATACTACGTTGAACAGAAGTCGGCTCAACAGTATCCAGTTCTGTGGGCGATTCTCGAACACGAAAGGGATTCACTGCACCATGGAAAGATCCGAAACAGATATATTGGATCATGACAAGACACCGAATTCGCAGTCTGGATACAATCGAGACAAATAAAAAAAAGTACCACTCTCCTTCAGTCACACTTGGGACAGGCCTCAATTCATCGAACACACACACACACAGACATAATTCGCGCAGAATCAACGGAGTAACACAGCGGAGGTCACCGAGGTCTGAAAAACCTAGACTTGCACAACTCTTGGCTACAGCCCCAAATTTATCCTAAAATGCCTTCCCATCTCTCTGGAAGCCAAACCCCACAAAAGGCCAGACAAATGAGCCCCTTTTAAAAAGACTCGGCGATGTTTTCAACAGGATTTCCTTCTTGACGTCTCAGCGCTTTTGACACTTCCTTCCGGTGCGCGCTCACAAGTGCTGGTTTCGGGCCAATTTGAGAATTCCAACTTTTGATTTCTCGCTTTTGCAATTCGTCGAACAAAGCGGCGGCGGCGGCTCCCTCGCGGTTGTAATTGGCACAGCGGTCGATCGGCGCGTCGTTCCACGCTGCAGTTTTTTGTGAGGTCCCGCCAAGAAATGTTTCGAAAACCGCTCTCGTCGGCCAACCTCGGCCCAAAACCAGACAAACACGCGGCATGAGGCCTAGGCCCCCCGCCCCGGAGGACAAAGGGAATCTGCGTAAGGGGACGCCGGGATTCATGATTTTTAACGTTAACAAAGCGAGGCTCGCCGGGTTGTTTTCATGGAAATTGTAATGGCGTCCAACGGAACGCTCTCTAGGAAATATTTACTCCCGCTTGACTTGGCAAATCCTGTTTCAGAAATGTTCTGCTGCCGGTGGCACCCCATTGCCGCTTGAAAGGTTCAGGCCACAGTCCGATTCGCACCTCCGATTAGCGGAGTTGGCTACATGCGATGGGAAATAAGTTCAGCATACATACATACGCGCTGTAGAAACACCTTTTTCCTTTGCCCCAAATTATATTTCCAGTTGGCTGTCGGTGTTACGTCACGAGATAGAAGACGTTTCCACGGAAGGCTCTTTTGCGAATCCGTTGCTGGATGAGGGCTTCCCCAGCAGGTATGGGGCTTTTAACAAATGCGCTTTCAGAGAGGCAAACACGCACGGCATTCTGGGTGCGTGCAAGGCATTGTGGGTGTGTGCCACACACTTGTCACCCCGGTCGAGTGCGGGGATGTGCGCAGTGGGGGCGGGGGGGGGGCCTGGGAGTGCAGCGTTGCTGACTTTTTAACAGTGGAAAGTCGCCAAACGAACCTCAGAAAGTGGCTACCCAATCTAGCAAGTAATTAAACAACGAGCAGCTTTTCGCAGGCTTCTCAATGGCCACCCGGAATCGCTCTCGTACCTGTGTAACCTTCTCCCGTAATGTCCTCGTGCCAGATAGCCTGGAGAATTTGTCACCGCCGGTCGCTTTGACGGCGTTTGTGTGTTGCTCGCGAAACTCAAAGGGGTCTCAAGATCGAGTGAATGAAATAAATCACCAAGTAGGCAAGGATGATGGTGGAGGTGGGTGCGGAGGGTGGGGGAGGGCACTCACGGCCGTGGGTGCGCTGATGACGGAGATGTTGAAGCCGTACTGGAAGCTGCCCCCAATGCCCGTGGCGGCCACCAGCACGCACAGGCGCAGCACGGGAACCTGCGGGCACAGCGGGCACAAGGGCGGCGGCGGGAGAGCGCAGTGGCCACGACGGCCGAGAGCCGCGGTTAAATTTCCTTCGGGAACTCAGCCGAGGCATCCATGGGCAACGGTAGAATCGACTGCGATGGCACGAGCTTCGGTGGCATTTCAAGGTTTCAAAATAGCGAAACAACTAATGCCTTGGTGATGATGATGATAACCGGCCAATGGAAGCCAAGAAAGTTGAATACACCAGTGTTTTCTGGGCAGATTTGTTATTGTTGTATATTATTTGTATTTATTTATTTACCCTATTTAGAGCCACAGTGTTATTGACGAACGTGTTAAGTTTTTGTTCATTGTGTTTGTGCACCACTAGAAAATGCAGAATAGCGCGGTTTTTTTCATTCACAAAAATAATATTTTAACACCCCAAAGTTGTTGGGATATTCGTAAAATATCCACTTTTCAAGTACAAATCTAATAACTAATCCTAATAACTAATCCTATATCTGCTGGTGCTCCTTCTCGTGGGTGGGAGAAAGCACGCTTCCAAATCCCAGCGCAAAAGGCGTTTTTTTTTCGTCCCGCAAGAGACAACGGTGAAAAACAGAAAATCGCCGCGTTAATTCGTCAGCGTTTGCCGCACAGAGCGTTGGGATCGAAGGCAGCCACAAGGTGGCTTTTGTTTGCTCCCGCCGGAACGCAAATGTCTGCGGAATTCGATAAATGTGCAAACGCCACGAGGACTACGAGGACATCACGAGACGACAAACCTCACCACGTGCAAAAATCAGGAGGTCAAGAAATATACATATGTGTGTGTTTGTGTGTCAAGGGACATTCCATCCCTGAACACAGAACAAAGACAAATGTCACAGATTCCAATGAGAACCTGAGTCGACTGTTTGTGAGGAGCGTGCCGATAGCGTACACTTATGAAGGCCGACACGGCACACGAGGGGGTGAAGAATGTGGCCAGCACCACGCGCGGCCGCCTTTGTCTCTCCAGTGGTGATGTGTACACAGCGCACAAAGTACTCGCTTAAGGCCAAGTCGACCCACGGCGGAGACCCAAGCCCGTTTTAGATATTCGTCACGGATGTTGGCCGTGAGCAGGAATCGAACTCGGGTAACCCGGTTTAGACAGCAGTGCACCAATCGCTTCCCCCCATCGCTCCCCAAAACAAAAGACGCAGGCACACTCGCGCGCGCTTTAAAGCGGGTCGGGTTATTCAGGGTCGAATGGCACATCTGGACAGGACCCCGCGCGGTCTGGGAGGGGCGCCGATGCCTCGGGGAGAATACGTGGCTTGGGCCAGATGGCGCCTGCGCTTCAGATGGGCACTGCAGCTTTCACCATCGGGGCTTTTGTGCGCAGGTTTGACTCAACAACCGCACTTACAACCTCGGCAGAGCCACTGGGAACTTGCGCCAACTTGGCGCCCGTGATGGTCGGGGGGGGGGGGAGTGGGGGAAGACACCAGTGACCAGCCACAGTGGAAGGCGCGACGCCTGAGCGTAACCGGCGATGTGACGCCACGTGGACGGGCAATTGCATCATCAGCCGAGAGAGGGAACCGCACCCCAGAGGAAGTCCACCGCGCAGACGGAGCGATGAGAATTGCCTTGAGCGGAGGCGTTAGGACGGCGACGGTCTGACGGGGCCTTCAATCAGCAGTGAATTTGTCGTGGACGGTGACGATGATTGTAATGAAATGAAGGCTTCTGGGAGGACACCTCCGTGTGAACGAACAGCTCCTGTTGTGCAAGCAGATTGAAGTGTTGGCACGATGGGAGCACCGATTTTGTTATGCAATCGGCCAAACGCTGTTGGCTGTAGAACTGCGGCACCCGGAGGAGTAAACAAGATGCTCTCTACCCACGCACAACAACGCTGCTGGCTGAATTTCAAATGATGGCAATACAAATGAAAGACTTTTTTTTCTATCTGTTAAGGAAAGGGGCAATGTGTGGGTTTGAAATAAAAAATAGAATGCGTACGAAAAAGATTCACCAATGGCAAGCAGGGAAAAAAGTTCGTCGGTCCAAATGATCAAATTCTGCTAAAATGTCATTACTTACATCAGGGTCAGATTGGAGCAGAGTAATGATTAATTTAAATTACGCGAATTATTTCTTGGATTTATTAACAGACACTAATTATAGAACCCTCGTGTTGTAATGAATACGCGCTGTAATGAACACGTTAAATATTAGCTCACGCTCGAGGGGGATCGCGTTCTTTAGTGAGGGGGGGGGGGTTACGGGGTCATCGCCATCCTCATCATCTAAAAATCATCGCGGGCTTGTAGGGGGCACGCTAAGTGCCACGAACAAAGCCGAACGTGTTTTTTCAAAAAACAAGAAACGACAATGTCCACTCGCTTTAATGGAACTCCACGCAGCCCCCCCTTTTCACCGCGAGCACGCATGCAGTTCACAACGGTAATCCTGGCTTTTGGGGGCGCCGCGGTGACGAGATGTTAACCGCCTCGCCTGGTGTACAGGAGGTCGTGGGTTCGATCCCGACCCTGACGCCTGCTGCATATTTGGAGTTTGCGTGTCTCTCTCCCCGTGGTCGCGTGGATTTTTCTCCGGGTCCCTCCGGTTTTCCCCTCCACATTTAGAAATCAACATCAAGTGTTTAAAGTATTTGACTGCTATAAATGTCCACGTGATGATGATAAGCCACTTTGTCGAGCTCTCATTTGTGGCCAGCTCGCCTCTCAAAAAGAGTTCCATAGCTCAGTGTGGCCTCAACCTGGTAAAACAAAAAATAGTTTCATATTTTACTTTCCCACCGTCCTCGCCGAGTCTCCTTGAGCGGCACGCGGCCCTCCGCAGATTATCACGACAACTCAAGCGACGCTGGTGCGCGCCACAGTATTATGCAAAATTGCCTTCTCTCGCTTTCAAGGTTAACAAAAAAAGCATGCGGCTTGCCAGACATGATGAGGCTCCCTCTTGTATGTACGTTGGAACTTCTTCCGCACCGTACGTGGCCAACTGTGCTACTCGGAGGAGGCTTCTCAGTGGCAACAAGGGAGTGTGGAGGTAGAGGGGATGCTTCATTATTATATTTACTCGAGGGAGAGGCCTTCACGGCAACAGGTGCGCATTGCAGGCTCATTACGGGCTAATCCACATGCAGTAGCAGTTCATTATTTAATGAGGCCAATTTTTTTGGGGGAGTTGAACCATATGGCGGTACCCCGGGGCACCATAGTACCCCGGCTCTTGCATAATGTCCGTGACGCAGTCGTTTTTACTCTGTTGATGGTCGGCGATGCGGCAATCGACTCATCTCGAAGAGCTGTACACGATGCACCACCACGGTGCGTACCGCGAGCGTTCAGGGCAGTGGCGGCTCCTGCAAAATCTCTCAGGGGGGGCAAATGTCTGGATGATTGATAAGGATAAGGTCCACCCATGCAATGGATAAATTAACAGCTTAAGCATGTAAAGGCAACTTCACTTCTTTAATATTAATGAAAAATAAAGTGACTCTTACAATACATCTTGTTTGTTTCTATACTCACTATTAAAACAAACCACTCAAGTTTCTTTTATTAAAGATTCCACTAGGTGGCCACAAATTATATTGTTGGATGAAACGTGCTTACGTATGATGACGTAAGCACGTATGATGACGTAAGCACGTTAGGGCGAGCCCTCCCGGAAGCCATAGAGAATGCATTGCAGCGCCCCCCGGTCGAAAAAAAGCATCTTTGAATGTAAGTCTATGGGGCCACTCGGGGCGATTCTCAGCCGGAGTGAAATCGCCCAAAAAGAGGCGGTACTACACAGAACGTGACATGACGCTGATTGGACTATATCCAGAGGCACAGTGACGGCGAGCGTGACTCTGTGGTTGAATGACATTGGTGGTGCGTCGCCCAATCGCCCTAATGAAGAAACCGCCCCTGGTTCAGGGTTTCAGCGCAATCGTCCTCGCTGCGTGTCGACATCGATTTTGGATTGATTGGTACCCCACTCGCGGAGTTAAGTACACCCCTTGGAAAAAAAATCGTCCCAGAAATAAAATATTTAATTGCCTCGGCCATTTTGTATTATTTGGTACCCCGGGGTACCGCCAATAAGGATCATTTGAGGTTTTTTTTGTATTTAGTTTTTTAAAAATACGTCCCCCCCCCCCCCTCATCCGCTTCGCGTTCCAGACGGAAAATAAAAAGCACATTCACGCTGCAAAAAATACTGTAACAAAAAAAAAACGCGCGTAAAGATACACACACAGCGGGTCTGTTCAGTCAATTGTCTCTTCGCTCTGTATTATTGACTTATGGTTGCATCTGTGCTCAACAGAAGCTTGCTTGGATTTTGGGGGGGGGGATGAGGTGTACATGTTGGGAGTGGGGGCCACAATATTATTTTGTCACGGTTGTGCCGCTTGTGCAATCGGTTTATTACTATAAATATTTGTTTAATTTTACCGGGTAAGGCCCACAGAGCTATATAGGTCTCTCTTCAGAAGCGACCTGGCCACCGCCAGTGGACAACGCGACGAAGTCGCTTATCATTTGGAACTTCATAGTAGCCAAATAATCAAAACGCATGTCTATTCTAAATGCGGAGGGAAAAAACCAGAGGACCCGGACAAAAAAATCCACGCTACCTCGGGCAGAGAAACACGCAAACTCCAAATATAGAGCAGGCGTCAGGGTCGAGATCAAACCACGACCTCCTGCATACCAGGCGAGGTAGTTAACATCTCGCCACCACGGCATCCTTTGTGGCGCATTCTCCCGCCCTTGCTGCGTTGTTTGGCACGATGTTTAACATTTTGCACCGCGGGTTTCCGGGAGCTTCTTGATCACGCGAATTGGGCGGCTCACATCTCCTCGCCTGATAGTCGACGGAGAAATGCGAAGGGGCTCGATTCGGTTCCAGAAGAAGTTACCCCCACAGCAGCACGTGGGGCGAAACATCGGACATCGCACCGAACGACGCACGGTACACGAACCCGCACACCACCCATCGGAGAGCTCCTGTTTACT